GAGAATCCGCCTGCTGCGGATTGCTGCGAGGTCTGCGAATCCGCCAGGCCTGTTCCGGGCCGCCGTGGCGTAGGAACCTCGGGGACGTGATGAGCCCGAAACCCTAAACCCTAAACCCCAAACCCTAAACCAAGTCTCCATATGGCCCTAGTAGTAATTCATACGGTAGAGGGCAGGTCTCAGCCCTGAACCCTTGAGGCTTCACATACCCTTGCAGGAATTGATGGTATGGCCCTGGGCCCCACAACCCGAGCATTCCCTCAAACCGCCAACCCTAACCCTGAACCCTAAACCCTGAACCCGAAATCCCTTCCACTCTGTTCAGACCTGGCAGCGGTTGGACCTGTGCGTGGCCCGGCGGCACTCAGGCTTTGACCCCAAAACCCTCAACGAACCAGCGGAAGTGAAGTATCCTATGTAGTACTGCCAAAAGTCAGATGTACAGTATAAATAAATAAGCAAATATATATATATATATATGTATGCATATATACATATATATTGCATAATATCTGAAAAAGTCAAGTGCTGGAATACTCAGCGCCCCAAAAGCATTCAAGCTCATCGATGTAAATACGTCTCGGCCGAGCTTCCTGGTGATTTACCGTAACTTTACATCTTTAGCCTTTTTTGGGTTTTTTTTGGGTTTCTTAATAAGGCAGCTAAAAGTTCAATTTTTTGCTACCCTCCTAAGTGCAGCCAAGGTTCTGTACCCTTCTGAATCCAAATGGAAGAGCATCTTGGTCACTGAAGGTTCGAACGTGTTCATGTGGGATTTGGGGCTTAGGAGTTTAAGCCCTAAACCCTAAACCCTAAACCCTAAACCCTAAACCCTAAACCCTAAACCCTAAACGGATTGCCGGTTTGGGGTTTAGCGGTTCTGTTTTCCAAGTTTTGAGCTGAGCCTCTGAGTTCTACAGGCGTGGTAGATGAGTGGGACCCTTGACCCCTTTTTGCTTTTGGTGATGGTTTAGGGTTTAGGGTTTCGGGGTTTGGGTTTAGGGTTTAGGGTTTAGGGTTTAGGGTTTAGGGTTTACCTCCTCAAGTAACCAGCCCAAACAAGGGTGCCCTTATCATGATATGGCTACTGGGCTACCAAGTCGCCAAGTAGGAATTAGGAGTGAGGGTTTAGGGTTTAGGGTTTAGGGTTTAGGGTTTAGGGTTTAGGGTTTGCGGAGCTCGACTAAGCCGCCCTTAGGGTGCTCAGGGACAGCGCGGGGGGAAGGCTTTGGGCCGTCTTGGGGTCGTTCAGTGAGTGTGAAGTTACCGCCGATGTGTGCAGGGTTTAGGGTTTGGGGTTTAGGGTTTAGGGTTTGGGGTTTGGGGTTTGGGGTCTGGGGTCTGGGGTCTGGGGTCTGGGGTCTGGGGTCTGGGTCTGCGGTCTGGGGTCTGGGGTTTGGTTTATGTAGGGTGACAATGCTGCCGCAGCACTGAAGCTCAGGCAAGTTGCGAGGCGTGCGGACAGGCTGCTGCACGGCATTTGGAGATTTCCTTTTGCATGTCCCTGGGTGCTGGAGGAACCCACCTAATCCTACAACCCTAAACCCTTAAACCCTCAAGCTTCCTGACAATTCCCGGGTCTCGAGCCCCTCAACCCTAAACCCCAAACCCTTACACCCTAAATCCTAAACCCTTACACCCTAAACCCCAAACCCTAAACCCCAAACCCTAAACCCTAAACCCTAACCCCAAACCCTAAACCCTAAACCCCAAACCCTAAACCCACAGGCCCGGGCGCCGGCGGCTTCAGCGAAGCCAAAGGCCGCCAAGGTGCACCTTAAGAGGGGCTTTTCGGGCTTTTAGTAGGGGCTTTTAGGTGCTTTTGGGGGGGTTTAGGGTTTAGGGTTTAGGGTTTAGGGTTTAGGGTTTAGGGTTTAGGGTTTAGGGTTTAGGGTTTAGGGTTTAGGGTTTAGGGGGGTTTTGGGTTTAATTAGGGCTTTTAGGGCTCTTCGGGCTTTTTGGGCATTTAGGGCTCTTAGGGCTTTTGGGCTTTCAGCTCTTTTCAGAGATGCGCAGTGTTCCAACCGGGCGCGCCCCCCACCTCCCCGACCCCCGGCCACCCTCCCCCCCGCGGGCCACCCCCCGCCGACCCGGCCCGATCCGCCCCCCCGCCCCCGCCCCGCCATGGTGGTTCATGGTGGGCTTTGGGTCCCCCGCCCCCGACATAGTCTCTGGTTCATGGGTTTAGGGTTAGGTTGTAGAGTTCAGGATTTTCACTCTGACCCCCTTGATCCATTGGTTCACGGTGGTTAAAGACATTTGGAGGTTCAACCCTGTACACCCGACTGCAACGGACGGCGACAGAGCTTTATAGGGTAAAGTACATGAGCTTGCGGATGATACCTTACCTACTTCCCTGGCACTACCAGCCTACTTGGTATTTAGGGTTTTAAGGGTTCTACGGCTTATAAACCTCAGACCCAACATTCCTGCTTGCTAAACCCTTATCTTAAGGACATGCACCCAGAAGGAATCTCAACACAGCGCAAGAGGTCGGACTCCACTAGATTTCGACGCTAAACCCTAAATCCTAGAGTATGCTTTTGGACAAGAAGGGCCCGCATAGGCACCCTTCCCAAAACCACTTCCCAAAACCCTGCATGTCCCTAAACACCCAAAGGCTGTGCACATGAAATCAATGAAAAACACAGGAGTTTAGGGCGAGTTTAGGGTTTAGGGTTCAGGGTTTGGGGTATTTATTAGGGCCTACATTACCTATTGCCTAAACCCTAAACCCTAAACCCTAAACCCTAAACCCTAAACCCTAAACCCTAAGCCGTGGCTCTCTCATCGGCAGGCCAAAGCGGTGAAGCGTAACGAAGCGTGGCAACCTGGTCGCAGAGCATGGCTGCTTTGGGGGAGGAACTTCTCAAGGGCTACAATAGGGGGGTCGGAAATAGTATTCCCGTATGGTCCCTGTTCTATACTGTACTACGAAGACCCCCAAAACCCTATTCGAATTGTTAAGGCCCCTATATTACATGCTCCGAGGCATTGCTGACCCTCCAGACAGGGCGACGTTATTATTGAACGATGTGGGGGGGTTTCTGAAAATAGGGGTACCCTTTTTTGGGGAGTCCATTCTACTTGGTCTATAAATGGAGTACCCCTATTTCGGGTGCTCATAGGTATGTATATTCCAGTGCATACGGTCATTTCTCTAAAATTATGGTCCCTTTTTGAAGTGCTCATTCCCAGGCGGCCCGTGACTGTTTGGGTAAAAGGGACCCGAATGTAGAGAACGAACCCCTAAACCCTAAACCCTAAACCCTATAAACCGCGGGAAGTCCTCCACCAAGCAGCACCGCGATTCACACGCGATGCTAAGAGGATTTCTGGCGCTCCGTGCTCGCCCTTCTGCGATTTCCTTTGGGCACTACATAAACTCTCAAGCGGTTGATGGTCTAGGTACCCCTAAACCCTAAACCCTAAACCCTAAACCCTAAAATTAAACTAGGCCCTAAACCCTAAACCCCCCAACTTTGGGAGCTCCTTTCAGCTCCTTCCGGTTGCAGCAGCTCATGGCTCATGACTTCTGGAGTGCCTTGGACAGGCGCCCGGCGAACCACCTCTTGGCCAACAAGGGCTACACTGCCAAGCCCAAGGCCCCCCCCCCCCCCCTCCCTTTTTTTTCTCCTTGGGGGGGGGGGGGGCTGCTGCTGCTGCTGCTCTGTTTTTTGGGGTTTGGGGCTTAGGGTTTCCTTGGGAGTGGATTGACTCCAATCCTAGAAGGATCCTTCTCAGATGCAGTGGGCGTCATCACTAAGTAAGGCGCATGTTGGTCACTCGAGCCCCTGCCGTTTGCAAGCATCCTTGTCGCATCCCAGGCACCCTCTCACCATGGCACTTCGTTGCAGCTGTGAACGTAAAGGTCGACGGGCCCTGAGATACTGTAGCCCCCGCTTGTGTACAAACTGGTCTTCCTCAAAAAGCACGGCTTCTGAAGAACCGAAACAACTTGCAAGCGGCCCCATAATGAACATTGCCACGTTGCCCACAACATGTACCCCGAAAATCTCTATACAAGCTTGTTATAAACCCCCCAAAAGGGTGACCTTTTTTCGCGAGTTCTTTGAAACCCTCAACCCCAAACCCGAAACTTGCCATAGGAGCCCCCCCCCAGAAAGGGTGCACGCAAGACCGCCCAGAAAGCCCCTGCGTGGAGGCTGCCGGTCCACGGCGTACGACCACATGGTGGAGCTCGAAGAAGCAGGACACCTCATGGGGTTGTGGGGTTTTAGGGTTTTAGTTTTTTGAGGCCTTTTAAAACACCTGTTTCTGTTTCCTGTTTCCATTGCATCAAGGTCGAGATCCTTTAAAACACCAAACAAAACAAAACGGAGAAAGACACGGTCAAGGAAATCAATAAAGACAAAAACAGCCACTACACCTGGAGGAGATGATGATAATTATCAATGTAACGAAGTATTTTAGATTTTTTCGAAATTGGTACGGAGAATGCAGTGGAGCCAGCACAAGTACCGATTGAAGATTCACCTTTCCCGAATGCGAAGCAGAAGGGTTCTCGTTGTTTGAGGTTGGGGGTCTGGGGGTCAGGGAGTTGACGCGAGTTTAGGGTCAAACCTCAAGTCTTAATCTTTACATTACACATAGGTTTTCAAGGTTACGCAATTCAACTCTTTTACCTTATAGGGTGAAGGTTGAAAGGTTTAGGGTTGAAGCTTTAGATTTAAACCTACACCCTTAACCTTTAAGTAGAGTTGAAGGGGCTAAGGATTTAAAGGTTAAGATTTAAGCATGTAAACCTAAGGCCATAGAGTGCAGTTTCACTTGCAGACGGTGGCAGAACGGGCAGCAGGGCGGCCGGGCAGAAGTGCAGAGCGCAGGAGGGCAGGCAAGGCAGGGCAGCGGCCACCTGGCAAAGCCCCTTCCCAACCCTTCCTCTTGTCGGAACCACCTGCGAGGCCACCCCTGCCACCTGCAGTGTCACTTGCAGTGCCACCGCCTCCTTCCACGCGTCAAACCATGGTTACTCCTGGCCACCCACCTGGCAAGGCCACCTGGCAAAGCCCCTTCCCGTCAATGATTGGGTTTATTTGCGAACGAAGCTTTATGTCAAAAAAAATTCGCCCAGATGAGGGTTTAGGCTGCAACCGCTGAATATAGAATCTAATGAGATCTTGTTACGAGCAGGTGTCAGAAGGTGGAGGCCCAGAAGAGGATTTGTCAAGGTGTGGCCTTGGAGTTTAGGTTTCGAACATGCGGCTAGAAGATTTCTCAGAGGAAGATCTCTCTGAAGTTTTTTGGCTGAAAAAAGAGTTTGAAGCTCAACAGAGACTGCTTGGCGTATGGCCTCTATTTGGGGGGGCTGGAAATAATGCCGGGGGGTCTCCATTATTTCTTCGCGTGCCCCCTGCCTAGCTCAGCAACGTTGGACATAAGCAGGTTGGAACCTTCATCCGTGGATTCCGCGCCCAACGCTGCAGATACCTGCCCACCCCCACCCAAGCAGCCCTACAAGGTTTCAGGCCGATTCTAGGCTTACAGTGACCAAAGCATGGAAGGCATAAGGCATAGCAAAGCGATTCTCAGATTTGTGCAGCCCTACCATTAAGACCTTGCCTGCGTAATCCATTGCTTTCGGCAGCTCCGCCGAGATATGTGAATCTTGCGAATTGTCCACGCTCCACAAGCGCATAGCACCGCCAGCGGAGCATATCTGATCAAACTTCGCTTGGCTGGTGGGCCGGATCACTGGCGTAATGCCTTGAAACTCGCTAGTTGCCGGGGTCAGGCTGCTCATGTCACTGAAAGTGAGTGCGAAGGTAGCCTGGACACTTGCCACTCTACAAGCTTGCTGCGAACGAACTCACTCAGCCGCTTCCGTTGGGCCAGATCTTTCAGGCCAGAGAAGACCATCTTGCTGTGGTGAAGTGGGCTTTGGTGTGGTTGTCACCACTTGCTGCTGCTCGCCAGCTTTGCAAGTGGGCTTCTGCCAGCCCCAGGAGAACTTGTCATCACTGAGCTTGGGATTGCAGGAGCACTGCTCGATGGGCTCATTGTCCATACAAGGCGGCTGGCAGAATGCGATCGGGGTCACGCGCTGCGTCGCGCCATCTTTCACACACTTCTTCATGAGCGGGCAGTAGTAGAAGCCATTTGAACACTGGTCACTGTGGAGGCGCCGCTCACACTTGCCCAGCTGGCCTTTCTGGACACAGCTCAGCATACACATGTGATCGACACAGCTTCGGCCCCCTGAGCCCCCTGAGACTGGTGGAACTGCCGGTGGAGCTGCCGGAACTGCTGGCGGTGGAGCTGCTTGTTTCGCCCCTGCCGTCGGCCTAGGCGTGGGCATTGTTTGACCAAGGCTGGTACCTCAGGCTTGCCATCGTTGCCGTCTCCAAGCTGGCAACCCCCACTGTTGGGAGGGCCGACCGTGTGGCAGGTCACCCCGGAGCCCGACCCAGCAAGCCACACGTCGAGCATCCCTCCAAATGAGAGCGGTGTAATGATTCAAGACACCGCCGCCGACTGCCCGGGCATGATTGGACCTCTCGACGCCAATCCTCCACACTGTGAACCCATGCGTGCGCATAAGGCAAGAGCTCCGGCCTCCAGGCTAGTCCCGGAACTCCATTACAGGCTCTGTAGTGGTTGTGGGCATCCACCCACTTCTTAGGGTCATTGTGGATCGGGTCGGCCTTGTAGATAATCGCGGAACGAAACACAACCACACAAAAAGAATGACGTTCGAAGTCGGTACTGCCACTATAATATCGATGTCAAACGGAAGCACAGTTCATTGGTTCCAATCATTCCATTGAATCCTGTAAATGTATATTATGGCAGTACTAGCAGCACAGTCAGTCGCATACATAGATGGTGTTGCTTTGAAATATGTAGTACTACCTACGGCGCTATCATGTCCTTTACTTGATTCAATATCTAATTCTACGAAGTAGTGTTCTAAAATATGCTAAGTTAAGAATACATCACCACCGCAAGCATACGGTTTACCAATTAGTGGCTGTTTGGCGTCGTCAGTGTCCACTTGTGTGTGAGGAGAGTTCTTGAGTTCTGCGACAGCTAGATTCACAGTGAAAGATAATGTGTATTTGTTAACAACTAAAAGTATTTGTTGCTACTCAATGTTTTCAAACCGATCATGCACATCACATGTAACAGTCTTACTTACCCTTCAGGACATGCTCGACCAGGAGCTTGAAGACGCGTGCGAAGCTGTTCCATGCCGAAGTCTCCCGAAACCTGCTCAAGCAAAGCATCCCACAAGCTTCATTCAGTAGGGCGACCGCCGCTACATCTTCACTTACACGGAACACGGCAGCGAAACCTTGCGCTCGATCGTGGCCCGTGTCATGAAGATGCGCCGGGCCTCAGTCAGCAATAGCCGCAGCCTCTCTTCCCGGCTCACCCTGCCCGATGTACTTTTCGATTCAGGCGCGGCTACGAGCTGAGACGGCGCAGCATTCAGACATCGACAGAGTGCCTCCCACCAACAGACGTATCATGTCCTTTGTTTCCACTCGATGCGTGCGTGCTTTGGATTAGTTTGGCAGCATCATTTGCTCCGACCACGGATGTCAATGACCTTGCTTGGGCTCCGATTCGTTGACGTTGACCGATCGTCCCTCCTCTTTGTCGCAGATTCTGCAAGGGGAAATCATTACCAACGTTGTTACGACGCGCGAGCTGCTGCGCTTGCGAGCTTGCAGCAAGTCTTTGTCTGAAGTTCTACGACAGGAGTCACTGTTTCGAGGCTCCGAAGTCGACCTGCAAAACGCCGGAGCGCAAGCCTTTCGGTCCGGAAGTGCTTTCAGTTGTTTCATGGCAGTGCTTGCACAAGCGAAAGTCATCAAGCTGCAGTATCGACACATACTTGGTGTGCCCCAGGCTTCAACGTCCAGAGTCGTGCTTGATTGGTCAGGACAAATGTTCCTTCGACGAGAGACTAATTCTTGGAATGCTCTGCATCCTGTATCTCAGAGCGCCAGCTTGGATGTGGACTCAGTTCTCGTCCAACATACAGTGCATCAACCGTCAACGAAACTGAAGAGTTCTTTGTGGATCTTGAACGATGGCGAACGATCATGGACCTTGCAAAAAAACAGGGGGGGGGGGGGGGGTAGCGTTTGTTTTTTTTCTTTTTTTTTTTTTTTTTGTTGGGGGGGGGGGGGGCACAGCCTTAATAATTTTGTAGAGATCATGCCCGACAGCATATCTGAGTCGATCTTTCGAGGAAGACGAGACAGCCGAGCCAGAAGTCCGTCCTTTGCTGCTTCTCTCTTTTCCAGCTCACCAGTTTTCACTTGGAGATGTTCTGCACCAAGTCCTGTCAAATTTCTGGCCATGTTTGCCATTTCTCTCAGGCGGCCTCGATGTAACCAACAAGGTGCTGCTGAAACTTTGTTGCTTCACCTCCTCTTTTGCTGTAGCTTGCTTGTTCAGACCATGTTCCTGCTTTTGTCATAGTTCCTCTTCCTCCATCCTTTCCCGTCCTTCCTGTTTCTGCCGAGGGCTGAGTTTTCCCGGTTCGGGCTTCCAGCTTCTGGAGCGCGCGGCTGCTTCCAAGATTTGCGGTTTCTAGCATTTACAGAACAAACAGAGAAGTCATATAACTAGTCCTTCTACAATCCCCGCATACATATACCAATCAAACACCAGTAAGGAAGCTGAGTGTCCAAGACCGGTCTTGCAACCTTGCCTTTGCCGTTGCCTTGAAAGATGGCTGGGCTTGGCTGGACCCCAATAAGGGCTGTTCAAATTAACGGCCACTTTTTGCAGAAGTTGCGCTTACTATTCCACCAATCAAATCTGTTCAACGATTCAGCCATTGCACCGCGCGTCTGATGTGGATGCGCACCTCAAGTCAACACGCTATGCGCTTTGCGCTTGGCTTGGCAAACTTGTGAAAAAACATACGTTGCCACAAAAGGTCAAACTTGTCCTATGATGTCGTTGATGGATGTCTTCCAAAACAAAGATATTCACGCATACTCCAATACACTTCACTACATCTTCTAGGTTCAGCATTGACATTTTTTGGATTTATTTGCAGTATACATATATATATATATGTGTGTCTGAGAACGAAAACTGTTTTAAACTGTTCATACCAACACATGCAGTTCTACTCACGTCAAACATAGTTGAAGAGCACTTCCCGATAGTATTTACGATTCACAGGAATGGATTCTTCTTGTTGTGTTTGCGCAAGGATAATCAATAAGCGCAACATGTAAATAAAGAAGGCATCTCATATGATATTGATAACGTTTGACACGGAACAAAACCCAAATTGATGAGTTTATAACTTCAGATGCAAGCACACACACACAATTTACAAAATTCGGGACAGTCCATTGTCGAAGATATGGCAGCTTGGGAAAAAGCGTACAATCAGCCGCCAGGTGAAAATTCTTTAAGGAGATATTGACAAAATAGTAATTATAACTCGAAGCTGGTAATGGCTGGTAATAAAACATGGTAAAGAAAAACACAATACATCATCAATCAAAACATAACAAACACAATGCAAATGATAATAATAGATAACTGTTATTGTTGCATCGTTTGTTGTTTTTGTTGTTTCTGTTGTTACACCCACTACATACATACATACATATATACATACATACATACATGCATATGTTTCCAAAACATCACCAATACAATCAATACAATACACAAGATGAATCAAAACCAGATATGAAAACATGGAAATAATACATTCCATCAATCCTTGCATCTAATCCACCCAATCATCAGTAAGCATGCTACAATAGTAGCTTCCCTGAACGCTTTACGGGCCAGCGCTGCTGGGGGGTGTTGAAGGCGCGCAGGGTTGGCTCCCTGTTAGCCGAATGTTAGCCGGATGTTCGTACGCTGTGGTTCTGGAGGGTCTTCTTGGGGGCTTGTCGCTTTTTGATAGAGTTCTTAAGGGAAGGGGGTTCAAGAGGGGTATGTAACCCAAGGTTCCCTCCCCACTACTCCCAAAGGCTCCCGAAGCTTCCTGAAGCTTCCCATGGTTCATGGTTCCTTAGGTACCTACCCCGCTCTCCCTTATAAGGCCCCTAGAATTGTTGTTCGGGGTTTATATGACAGGGCTACGGGTTGAGAGGAGTCAGGTTCCACAGGGCCTTGCGCATTTAGGGCGAAAGGATGGCCTTGATTGAGACTCAACATGGGAAGGCCCCTCTTCTTGGCCCAGAACCCCGACTAAAGCCCTGGAAGGTTTGCAGAACCCTCACTACCCTAGATTGATCCGACGAGCCCTAAACCCTCAGACCTAAACCCAAACCTTCAAACCCTAATCCTATGAACCCGTATAGACTCCCCCTTGACCCTAAACCCTTAACCCTAAACCGCTCGTCGCCACTTTCGGAGGATTTCGTCCGCCGGCCTCTCAGTCTCCCTTCGGAGTCTAAACATGCTGGGTTCAGGGTTTAGGGTTTAGGGTTTCGGGTTTCGGGTTCTAACTTCCGGCCCTGGGGCGCAAGAGGTGGGAGCCGTCCTCGTCTTTGGAGGTCTGAGGTCTGCATGGTCTCAGGTTTGTTTGGGAATGGAGTTGGTGCCGAGTTGACAATTGAGCCTTCCCCGGCTCGATGGAACGGTATTGTAAGCAACTGCACCCTAAGCCCTGCACCCTAAACCCTCTACCGATGTGCGTATATGTATATATATATATACACCTTAATGAGCTGAGTTCGGATCTTGGTTTACATTTTTCGGGTTTAAGATTTAGGGTTTCGGGTATAGGATTTAGGGCTTAGGTTTCAGCATGTAGGGTGTTTAGGATTTAGGGTTTAGCGTTTACGACAATGGCCTACAAGAGCCTTCATGGACCTCCAAGGGCTTAGAATTTAGGAGCTATTGGTAGGAGGCAGAGCGATTTAGGACTGAGGGTCCAAAGCTTCCAAAAGGCTTGCAAGTGTCTTTTTCAAATGGCTTCCCAGGGCCTCCAAAATCCCTCCAGGGCCTGCAGGGGGAACCCTGAAGTACGGGAAAAAGTGGCTGATCCCAGCAATGATGCACAGATGTTGATGGCAGAAATGACCCCCCCCCGCCCCCCCCACCCCCCTATAAGTTTTCAGACCCAGGGGCCTTGCAGAGGCTCCAAAACCTTCCAGAGGCCTCCAGCAAAAGCTTCGAAGGGAAAGGCTTGGCTGTAGATGGCTGTGTTGTTTGGACTGAGCGAGGAGAATGAGAAAACATGGTTTTTTGTAAATGGTAGCGACTTCTGTAAGAAAAATGCACATATACTTCAAATGGAAAAGAGATGTTGGGAACGTGTGGTGACGCCAAGCACATAGCCATGTAAGGGGGGCCTTGCCAATCGCCGGCTCAGGCCAATCGTAAACAATAAGCCCTAAACCCTAAACCCTGAACCTTCAAAATGAACCCTGAAACCTAAACCCTAGACCCTAAGCCCTAAGCCCCAAGCCCTAAGCCCTAAGCCCACCCCTCGCCCTGGCCCAGGTGGCAGCTGCCGCTTAGTCTTGGACGCCAGCCTGGCCAAAGGCTCACCTTGTAGGGTTTAGGGTTTAGGATTTAGGGCTTAGGGCTTAGGGTGTAGGGTTTAGGGTTTAGGCTTTAGGGTTTATGGTTTAGGGCTTCGGGTTTGGGGTTTAGGGTTTAGGGAAAATGGCATCTCCCGCCATCCCTTCGATGGTCCAGACCGTTCGAAAGAGATGGTACACATCTGGGGCTCATAGGGCCCAAGCCTAAAACTGAATTCGGACAATGCTCAGAGACAAGCCAGCACAGGCAGCAGAACAAGAAGACCCAGAAAACCTCTCACAGCTGTACTTGCCTTAGGCAGTCTGTTTTATTTCTGTTGACATAAAGCCCAATGGAAAATGCGACACCCCAAGCCCAAACCCTAAACCCGAAACCCCAAACCCTAGACCGTAAACCCTAAACCCTAAACCCTAAACCCTAAACCCTAAACCCTAAACCCTAAACCCTAAACCCTAAACCCTAAACCCTAAACCCCTAAACCCCTAAACACCTAAACCCTAAACCCTAAACCCTAAACCCTAAACCCTAAACCCTAAACCCTAAACCCTAAACCCTAAACCCTAAACCCTAAACCCTAAACCCTAAACCCTAAACCCTAACCCTAAACCCTAAACCCTAAACCCTTCAAAAGGTTGAGAGTAGACAGAGGCAGCCCTGCCGTGGTCGGAGCCCTGGCGGGCAGCGAGCTTTGGCAGCGCGTCTGGCGCGTGGACATGCCCTGCGAGGCGCACGCGGGGGAGGGGTTTAGGGTTTATAGGGTTTATAGGGTTTATAGGGTTTATAGGGTTTATAGGGTTTATAGGGTTTAGGGTTTGGGGTTTGGGGTTTGGGGTTTTGGGTCTCGGGTTTACGGTTTAGGTGTCTAGGCTTCAGGGTTCAGGGTTCAGGGTTCAGGATTTGGGGTCTAGGGGTTTGGGGGGGGACTGAAAATCTGGTGGTAGTTGAAAATAGGGTATGTGGTAGCCTAAACTCCCTAGGCTCCCTAATCTAGGTACGCCCCCTACCGGTACCTGCTCATGGCCGTCCAAGTTTCCGAAGCCCTCGCTCTCATAGTCGAGTCATAAGCTAAAGCCGGTTACTCTAAACCCTAAACCCTAAACCCTACTTCTCAACTCGCGAAGAAGGGAATCCTGGCCCAACAAAAGGCCTCCGAAGAGATGCCAACTTGCCCCATTTGCCTTGGACGCCTGGCAGCAAGAGAGGAAGAGGTTTGGGGCTTGGGGTTCAACCCTGAACCCTAAACCCTAAACCCTAAACCCTAAACCCTAAACCCTAAACCCTAAACCCTAAACCCTAAACCCTAAACCCTAAACCCTAAACCCTAAACCCTAAACCCTAAACCCTAAACCCTAAACCCTAAACCCTAAACCCTGACCCTAAGCCCTAAACCCTGAACCCTAAGCCCTAATCCCTAAACCCTACGGGCCGGAAGAGGGCAAGGCTTCGGGATTGCGAAACCCCCGGGGCTCTAGATTGTACCCTTGGGGTTTCGGAGGGTCTTCAGGAGCCCATGAAAAGAATCCGTTGTAGGGATAGAACAAGTATATCAAGGGAAGAGTTTCCTTTCGATTCCCGACCCTAAACCCGAAACCCTAAACCCCAAGCCCTAAACCCTAAATCCTAAACCCCAAACCCTAAACCCTAAACCCTAAACCCTAAACCCTAAACCCTAAACTCAGGTGAGCCAGAGCTGATTCGAACACCTCCCTGCGGCCACGTGATTTGCTTGCTTTGCGTCACTGGGCTTTGCAATCCCACAGGGAACACAGGGTCTAGGGTTTAGGGTTTAGGGTTTAGGGTTTAGGGTTTAGGGTTTAGGGTTTAGGGTTCAGGGTTTAGGGTTTAGGGTTTAGGGCTTCATTCTCTACTTCTCTAGGTCCCTACATCCTTAGTAACTTAGTACATCCTAAAATGCCCCTAAAAACGTTGAGTTGTTGTCCGCTCTGCCACGCTGCGGTTCCTGAGATCTCGGGTCACTTTGGGGTGCTTGGGTTCCGGAGCCGTGGAGCGTCGCCTCCTGCCGCAAAAAGTCGAATCCTATAGGGGTCGGAATAGTTACGAACAGTATTCCCTCATGGTCCCTTTGTAATTATACTTTAATAACCCCCAAAACTCTATTGTGATTATTAAGGCCCCTGTATTACGGGCGATCATCGGTCGTCTTGATGCCCTTCTGGTTTTGAAAGGTTTAGGGTTTTGGTGTATCCTTCGGCTTTAGGGTTTAGGGTGAATGTTGAGCTGACTCCATGAATCAACACGCCTTGCAAAGGTGGTGAGGACTGAGTGCTTGCGTGTTTGTGCGCGCGGGAGCGTAAGAGCGATCACTCTGTTCTGAACCCACTGAAACTCGAAACCCCAAACTACAAAAACTGGCTTCATGTCAGCGCAATTGAAATGCAGACATTTGCTCAAGCTGAGGTACCCCTTGTAAGCCCCAAATACATAAATCCTTATACCCTAAACCCTAAACCCTAAACCCTAAACCCTAAACCCTAAACGGCAACCTCCTAAAAGGGTATTCCGATTTTCTGTTTTTTGCCAATATACAGATGCCCCTCGAGAAAGTCAAGGGCCGGCCGCGGTCTCAACAAGAGCTCACACCCCCCCTGCAATCAGGGTTTAGGGTTTAGGGTTTAGGGTTTAGGGTTTAGGGTTTAGGGTTTAGGGTTTAGGGCTACTTGTGGGTTTATCACTGTCTTCACATTCGGAGTTGGGGGGGCTCAAGATTCATCATGTGTTGAATGTTTAGGGTTTAAGGTTTAGGGTTTAGGGTTTAGGGAATGACTCAGCTGAGGTATTGTCCGGCCGTATATGGGGTTTTGGGTAGGGGGTTTTATTAGGCAACCCGAAAACACTGAGATCGTTGTTGCGGTTTCTGAGGCCCTGCGCCATCACCGTGCCTCGATTGGCGCTTGGTCACCCGGCTCACTGAAGCAGGCGGGTAGGGACATGGTGCTTAGGGCTAGCTTGGGCCGCATGGACTTTTCATTGCGGCTGGATTTTGAGGTTCCGAACTTGGGTTCGGAGCTACGAGGACAGGTTGTTTGTCAGATGCCGGCCTTGTCAGTTGAACCTTAGCTGATGTTTGCACATAAACTCGTTCTTGAGATGCCACCCCCCTCCCCTTCCCTCCCCCACCCCCCCCGTTCCTGCAAACCACACCAAGTCCTGAACTCCAGTTCGCTCAGGAGCCCCCTCCCCGAAGAATGCCTGAAGACCGACATTTAGGATCCGTCCTGTTCACCAAAAAAACGCGGCACGAATTTTGAACCACCTAACCTTGAAAATATCATCTTCGGCAGGCTTGCAAATGCCCGGTGTGCAGTCAGGCCGGCGTGTCGAATATGGCAGGAGATGTCAGTTGTGGTAGATTACTTCGCGTATGTGCTGGTATAGAATCGGTCCTTGACACTTCACGCACGGCAAGTGTTCAAGGGGCGGGCCTTTTATACACAGAATGTATCCCAACAGAGTCGACCCGCAGCCCCATAAATGGCCGATGTACCGATACATGAACCCTGTAGAGTTACCATGTAAGTAAGTGCCTTAAACCTTGAACCCCGTAAACCCCAAATGCTTAAAACCCTAACTCCCTATAGGCCAAGCTTCAAACCCTGTACACCCTATATAACGCATCGCTGTAAGCAGAACACCCTAAACCCCATAAAGCCTTGAACCCTGTAAGCCCCAGGAACCCTGTTCTCTATAAGCCCTTGCACCCTGTTTACCTTCAACCCTGCAACATCCTAAACCCTAATCCCTAAACGAAAGCCTAAACCCCAAACCCCAAACCCCAAACCCCAAACTGCAAACCCTAAACCCTAAACCCTAAACCCTAAACCCTAAACCCTAAACCCTAAACCCTAAACCCTAAACCCTAAACTCACCCAGTTCGAGTTCGCCCCCCAGGCCCTGCGCCTGGAAGACCTGCGCCCTGTGCGTCTGGAACTCCAGCACCTTCCGAAGCCGGAGTCCTGCCCTTGTAAGGGTTTAGGGTTTAGGGTTTAGGGTTTAGGGTTTAGGGTTTAGGGTTTAGGGTTTAGGGTTTAGGGTTTAGGGTTTAGGGTTTAGGGTTTAGGGTTTAGGGTTTAGGGTTTAGGGTTGAGGCAGACACCACTAGTGTAAGCAGTTGAGGGTGTAGTAGGGTTTATAGGGCTTGGGTTTGAGGATTTGGGGTCAGGATCTCGTAATCGGGCTTAGGGTAGACCCCCGCGAGCCCAGGGTTTAGGGTTTAGGGCTTTAGGGTTTACAGGGCTTGCAGAGGGTTTTAGAGAACAACCTCCCCCAACTTGCGGAGCTCAAAGGGTTTAGGGTTTAGGGTTTAGGGTTTAAAGGTTTATGGAACCTGAGATGTTTTCACTGGCCCCAGGAGGAAGGTGGCACGCTGGTCTTTAGCCTGGTGCGGCGCACGGGGCTGCACTACCTGAGCATGGCGGGCGACTCCGAAGCACTGGATGCAATTTAGGGTTTAGGGTTTAGGGTTTAGGGTTTAGGGTTTGGGTTTAGGGTTTAGGGTTTAGGGTTCAGGGTTCAGGGTTTAGGGTTTAGGGTTTAGGGTGCAAACCCGAGGGCTGATCCAGGTTCTGTCGAGTCTGATGTTGGGGCCCTTTTAAACTCGAAACCCAAATTCAACCCTAAACCCTTGAGTTGTGCGGAATTCCTCCCCCCCCCCCCCCCCCCCCCCCCCCTCCAGCAAAAGGAAAAAAGTGACCATACTGCAACTTAACCTTTTGAGCTTCAAGGCCTGCGAATTCGAGGGTGAGGGTCTAGGGCGCAGGACCTTTTTCATAAGTGTTAGGCTCTCAACCATGGGAAGTCGACACAGCGTGCCCTGCGTTTGAATCTTTCGTTGCCAGGGACATGCTTTGCACTGGTCGTGCTTTAGCAATCTTCTGCGGCATCATAGATTATGAGCCCCCTTTAGAAGGCTAGCCTGGGATGCTCCCCCTTATACCAGTAGTCCTTAATAGAGATTATGGATAGGGGTACTAGAATCCCTATCAAGGACTATTAGTATAAGGGGGAACATCCCAAAGGCTAGCCTTGTTCGCCTGGTGAACTCGGCTTCTAGGTACTGCTAGGGTTTAGGGTTTCGGGTTTAGGGTTTAGGGTTTAAGGGTTAAGGGTTTAGGGTTTAGGGTTTAGGGTTTAGGGCCGTGCAAAGAACTACAGTAAGTTGAGTCCAAAAAACGCTACGGGAGCTGAGACGACACGCTGCCCCGTGGCTGCCAGCCTCACCTACCTCAAGAAGGGGAGCCAGGTTCGCCCGGTTTAGGGTTTAGGGTTTGGGGTTTAGGGTTTAGGGTTGAGGAGTCTAGGGTTTAGGAGTCTAATTAGGGTTGAGGGAGAGCGCCCCTGCAGAGGAGCCGCCTTTGCCCGGCGCATCTTCGGCGATCCGGATCTCTACGAAAGCAGCATCCACGAAGGCGCTCATTTGGTGGGGGAAGGGTTTAGGGTTTAGGGTGAAGGATTTTGAGGGGAATGATCAGATCCATTAAGGCTATTTAGGGATAATGAAGCCTAGTTAAAAGTTATTTAAGGGGGGAACCTAGGGGGGGGGGGGGGGTAGTATAGAGGGGGCTAGTAGGGAAACCCATGAAGCGCCGGGGAAGGGGGGAAGGGGGGGAGGATCTGCATTGTGTGCCAGTGGTTTACTTGTTTAGTTGTTCTTTGTCTTGTCTTTCTGGCGCACCTAGCTTCAAGTCGGTTTTTGTTATCATCTTTTTGTTGCTTTGTGTACTTAGCGGAGTTGAAAATCTCATATACGCATAAACCCTAAATGAAAAACCCTAAATCCCAAACTCCAAACCTAAGCCCTAAGCTCTAACCCTATAGTTATAGACCCTACAGCCTCAAGCCCTAAACGTTGGATGAAAACGACCCCCGCCCAGATCTGCGGGTACTGGAGTCCCACGCAGCGAGTGGCGAGGAGGTGGGACAAGGAGTGGGACGAATAGGCCCAGAATCTAGGTCCCATAAAACCCCTTTAAAACCAGAAAGTGCACCTTTTTGTTCCTAGGGTCTGACTAAGGGGTCAGGGGTTTAGGGGTTAGGGTTTCGGGTTTAGGAAATTTCGAAGGTTGGGGTTTCGGGTTTAGGTGAGGAACCCTAAACCCTAAACCCTAAACTATACCCTAAACCCTAAACCCTAAACCCTAAACCCTAAACCCTAAGCCTTGGGTTTAGCGGTTTAGGGGTTTCGTGGTACTTGTTAACCAAGTATAACCGCACCTTACAACCCACTTCTGAGCCCCTCAAGTGCCCGAACAAAGGTCATACTTGGGTTAGGGTGTATAATTGGGTAACTTATTCGTACTAGGAACCTCCAAATAGGGGTCTAGGGGTGTAGGGGTTTATTTTTGTTTTTTTTTTTTGGGGGGGGGGGAGTTTTTGAGGGGCTACTTAGGCATGTAGGGACTGTGTCAGGTATGTATAGGGGTTGTATTGTGGAATAATCCCGAATACCCCTTAATCGGTTCAAGGCACGGCTTGCCGTTGGGTCCGCAAACCTGCCTGACGCCAGGCTCCACTCGTCAACTCTGCCATCGAAGCTGCACACCTGCAAGCAGTGATCCTAAGCCCTAAGCCCGAAGCCCTGAACCGAAAAGCCTTAAACCCCTAAACCCCCCTAAACCCCCCTAAACCCTACAAAACCCTACAAAACCCTACAAAACCCTGAACCCCTGACACCCTGAAGCGCAACACCGCACCTCCCGAAGCTGCTCGGGTTCTTTGGTCTTACCCTAAACCCCAAACCCCCTCAACCCTAAATCCTAAACCCTAAACCCTAAACCGCCCGCGGGTCTTCAGGCCCTAAAGTTCAGGGACGAATAGGGCTTGTGGGTTAGGGATGTTCTGGGATCTTGAAAGCTTCGGGATTGACATAGAGCAGTGCTCCCCAAGCCTTAAATCCTAAACCCTATAGCCCTAAACCCTAGCCCTAAACCCTAGCCCTAAACCCGAAACCCGAAACCCTTCCTTGCCTTAAACCCTAAACCCTAAACCAAGGCTCTCCAGACCCGCCTCATGTCGCCCCCGCCGCCCGCGACAAGTGGTTCGAGGTCTTCCGGGGACGGCGCTGTGTGGTTTAGGGTTTAGGGTTCAGGGTTCAGGGTTTAGGGTTTAGGATTTAGGGTTTAGGTTTAGGGTTTAGGGTTAAGGGGTAAGGGTTTAGGATTTAGGGTTTGGGGTTTGGGGTTTAGGGTTTAGGGTTTAGGGTGATGAGGGAAGCCCCGGCCGCCCAAGCCTTCTCAAAGCCCACCTCCTGCCAGAATGGAAGCCCTCCACACCCGTCAAACCCTATAAGCCACATCCACCCTATACACCCTAAACCCTTGAACCCTAACCTGGAACCCTCAACCCTCCTTAAAACCCTATAAACCCTGGAAACCCTGCAAAACCCTGTAAAGCCTAAGCCCAAACACCCCTTGAAACCCTAAACACCTTAGAAACCCTAAAAACCCACAACCCTAGAAACCTTAAACAAAACCCTCAACAAACCTTAAACACCCTAAACCCTAAAAACCCGAAACCCCAAACCCTAGACCCTAAACCCTATAAACCCTATAAGCCCTAAACTCTATGAACCCTATGAACCCTATGAACCCGAAAAACACCCCTAAAAACCCTAAACCCCAAAATCATTCCAAGGAAGGGCACGCAAGGTTTGAAGGAGGCAGCAAGCGAGTCCGCCAGCTCCCAGGCTGCGTAAGGGGTGTTTTTAGGGTTTAGGGTTTGGGGTTTAGGGTTCAGGGTTCAGGGTTCAGGGTTTAGTTTTTTTTTCTTTACGGCGTGCCCTTTTCAGTTTTTGTTTTAGCTGTAGCTTAGCTTGGCTGGCCTTTTCTTGGGGCTTGGCTTGGCTGAGGGTGGAAGGTGTTTTGTTTTTTTTCGGGTGCTTGGTTGGGCTGTCCCCCGCCCGAATGGCAGAAACCATTGCTTCGCACAAGAGCCAGACCACACCTCCAACGCAAACAGGGGGTTTAGGGTTTGGGGTTTAGGGTTTAGGGTTTAGGGTTTAGGTGTGGATTTGGTCCAACCCTGTCATACCTGCATTGTGTTTGCAAATGGGGAGGGGTGGGGGTGGGGGTGCTGCTGCGCCGTCCATCTACCCAAGGCCCTCCCGCACCTTCAAGCCATGCAGGCTTGCTCTAAAGGACATCACCATCGTCAAGAATAATTGTGTGAAAGTATGATTTTAACACCAGCCCTTTCGTTCAAGTGTTGTGTTTGCAGATTTTGGGGGGGGGGCTCCACTCTCCTCCAACCCTGCTTTTTGACCCACGCAAGCTTGCTTTGAAGAACACCGTGCCGTCAAGAGGTCTTGTTTCAAAGCACGAAAGCACATAGAGTCTCTCAACCCTGTCGTAAAGCCATTGTCTCTGCAACCGGGGCTGCGCCGAGACACCCCAAGCAAAATGAGTCAACCCTACACCTCCTTTTGGGCAACAAGCCACACCCCGAGCCCAGCCAAGCCACTGCGAGGGAAAGTAGAAACCCCACACAAGCCAAACCCTGAGCAAAACCGGGCCAAGCTGCACCTAAGAAAGATAACTTCCAGCCCCCCCCCCCCCCCCCCCCCCCCAATCAAGTAAATTAAATGAATTAAGCCAATTTGGATTTTGTAGATATTAATAATGAATATTTATTTATTGCCCCCCCCCCCCAGCCAAGCCATGCCAAGCCAAGCCGCACTAAAGGGCAAAGCCCGCGCCCAAGCAAAAATGAGTTCCGGGTCGGGTTCGGTAAGCAGAGAAGGGTCGGTCTGTGCCCTGCGGCCTGCGGCCTGCGGCGGACATCTGCCCGAAGCCCTGTACCCTCAACAGGGCTGGGTTCGAACGTAGTGCCTATTTGAATGACCCTTTATTAATGGCCTTTATCCCCTATGAATTCTTCAAAAAGCTTAAGCAAATAAGTGTTATAGAGCCCCCAAACCTACCCCTGTCAACTCTTTCGCTACACCGACACAAGCTTCCCAAGATCCCATTTCAGGTTGGCAGAGACTCTGGATCCCTTGTAATACGGACCCCAACAAGGTACCCCGAATTTCGGAAACCCTAAGCCCTCAACCCTAAACCCTAAACCCTAAACCCTAAACCCTAAACCCTAAACCCTAAACCCTAAACCCTAAACCCTAAACCCTAAACCCTAAACCCATTTCAGGTTCAGAGACTCTGGTCTTCTATCAAAGCTCTGACGGGCAGCTCTGCTGGCAGACATGGGCTGAGCCACGTTGCCTCGCTTAGGGTTTTATAGGGTTTTATAGGGTTGATAGGGTTTTATAGGGTTTTATAGGGTTTTATAGGGTTTTATAGGGTTTTATAGGGCTTATAGGGTTTTATAGGGTTTATAGGGTTTATAGGGTTTTATAGGGTTTTATGGCGTTTATAGGGTTTATAGGGTTTTATAGGGTTTTATACGGTTTTATAGGGTTTTATAGGGTTTATAGGGTTTTATAGGGTTTTATAGGGTTTTATAGGGTCTTATAGGGTTTATAGGGTTTTATAGGGCTTTATAGGGTTTTTTTCGGGTCTTATAGGGTTTATAGGGTTTTATAGGGTTTTATAGGGTTTTATAGGGTTTATAGGGTTTTGTAGGGTTTTATAGGGGTTTATAGGGTTTATAGGGTTTATAGGGTTTATAGGGTTTATAGGGTTTATAGGGTTTAGGGTTTAGGGTTTAGGGTGATGCTGCTGTTGTTAATGGTGGCGGTGATCGTGGTGACGGTGTGGGTGGTGGTGTTGGTGATGATTGTACTACCAGTGCGTGCGAATGGCCAGAGCGCATGATGACTACGTCCATGTTACCAGTGCGTGCGTAACTTGAAACTCTCCGAAGCAAACCCCCCAACGAAACTCAATGCATATTGGCATGCTTTTCGGCTTGGCCACAACGCCGAACATGCAGTCTCGCAATGTTCCGTAAGCCAGACGTCCCACGCGACCATCCAGAAACACAGACAAACGCAGAACAGGGAAAAGATACGACTCGGCTGCAAACACGCTGCAGAGAGCTGTTGCAGATGTGCCGCGCAGGCGATGTGAAACGTATGCCGCGAAACAAATAACCAAGTCAGCGCTGTCCAACACGCTTTGCGCCCCGCGCGTTTGCAGGGTGTCCGAAAGTCGTGCTCGTTGCTGTCGTTGTCTCGCCGTCTGTTGCTGCTTCTCGTCAGTACCACGGAAGGGCAGCACTAGCCTAGGACCCAGAGTAGGCCCTTCTTCCCTTTATTTAAGGTTCAGGTTCCCTGTTATACGCCCCTTTTAAACCAAGAAAAAAGGCACCCTTTGTGTTGATGGGTTACTCTCGGGTCTGCTAGCTATCGTTTGAGCAGCCCCAAAGCGTATATCAACTTCACCGTGCTGCCCTAAACCCTAAACCCCAAACCCCAAACCCGAAACCCGAAACCCTAAACCCTAAACCCTAAACCGATCAGGCAACTGATCTTTCTCGAGCCTTACTTGATGAAGCAGCTTCTCTCACAGCACAGGCGGGCCCCCTCAGCATTCAATCCATAGTCCTGAAACCAGCAGCCCAAGGATTGGGCCTTACAAGAACCGTGTCAGATCCTGTGTGGGTTCCGTAGTGTGGTCGAAGTGCAGGAACAAAATGAACTCTAAACCCTAAACCCTAAACCGACTTTCGATGAACTTTCTTGTTCTGCGTGATGCTGGTAGTTCCATTGAGGCTTCCACTTTATAGGGTGGGCTCTAGGCTTGCGGCTGAATGCAGGCGCTTCCTACCCGTAAACCACGGAAGATTCCTTCAAGCCTTTCGCGGAAAAGCAAGACGCTTCTTTCAGGACTTGGGCTCAGCTGCCTTCGAGGATCACCTTGCGCCCACTACGAGCCATGCGCCAGGCACAGCCTTGGGTCTCATGAGCTAAGAGAATCTCACAAGTGCGGCAGTCCCCATCTTGGTAGCAGCCTGAGTTGGGGTGCACGCAAAGCTTATACTATGTATGTATGTATGCATGCATGCATGTATGTATGTATGTGTCTATGTACGTATCTATGTATGTATGTATGTATGCATGCATGTATGTATGTATGTTTTAGAAGAGTATGTACTGTTAATATGATACTTAAGTATCTTGCTTTATATACAATGTCGAATATTCGATAATACTGTCAAAAAAGATAGCAAGGTATACTAGTTTAACAAATATGAGTATTTTTCGTATTACCAAGCCGTTTACTTAAACTAGTGTATCATGTAGAGTAGCCGACAATTAGATATTGTACTATGAATCATCCGCAGTGCTGTACACTCATATAATCGTATACAATGGAATACCCTATACAACCATGTCCTATCAAGCAAACTAATAGTATCTGACATATAAACATATGCCAACACACGCGACTTTATACATATATTTATAGAATCACACACACACACACATATATATATATATATATTATTTATTTACTTATTTATTGACTTGTTTTTTATTTATAGTAATAGAATAATATTAATAAGTATTATTATAAGATAATCGTAATGAGGATCGTAGTAGTAATGTCGCAGCCTGCAATGTGCCAGCCACAGGAGCCACTCACTGACCAGATGAAGCAAAGGCCGGCTGAGGGCTTGGAATCCTTGCTTGAAGGTTTGAGGGTTTAGGGCTAGGGTTTAGGGTTTGGGGTTTAGGATTTGGGCTTTAGGGTTAGGGTGGTTCTCGAGGGATCATGGGCAGCTATAAATAAGTAGGGTTATAAGTACCCAGTAAGGTTTTAACCAGTCATAACTATAGTTATCTTATTTACAACCCCACTTATAACTGCCCCTGAACCTCCAAGTGTGTCTTTGCCCAGTGTTGAAGGTGCCGCTTAATCGGGGGCGGGAACGTCCATAAAGGCCTAGGGTTACTATATAGGCATAGGGGTCGGAATAATTTCTAATAGTATTCCCTTATGGTCCCTTCATAGTTATACTGTAATAATCCCCCAAAGCCATATTCTAATTATTGAGGCCCCTGTATTACACATGATTGCAGTGACGAGATTTGAAAGGCTGAAAGGCAAGTTATTTGGGAAGGCAAGAATTCCTCGTCCTCCTAGTGGCAGGTATGTTCTCCTTCGCATGCCCCGAAACCCGAAACCCCAAACCCGAAACCCTAAACCCGAAACCCTAAACCCTAAACCTTAAACCCTACCTCTGCCACGATGATCGGAATGCAGGCACCGCTTCTTGGCGCATCTCCCGTCGGACGCAGCTGGGAGCCTTATAGCCTTTGCCGACGGCGACATTGAAGGCCGGATCCTACACATGAAGTAGGTCTAGGGTTTAGGGTTTAGGGTTTAGGGTTTAGGGCTTAGGGTTTAGGGTTTAGGGGCCTTTTTATAGCGATTTTTGGTGAGTGTGTGCATAGGGTCCATTGTAAATTGCGGTGTACATATGTGGTGTCATTTTGGGATGCTACCCATAAAGTACCCAGAAAGCCGTACCTTCAATAAATGACTTCTTGTCACCACATGGCAGACGCTCAGCTTCCATGTGAGGCGGGGATGCACCCGCACTGAGGGCATGCAGCTCACCCCAGCAAAACCCATAGAGGTAACCCTTACTTGTAGTAGGTAACCAAGTAGTTTAAGGCCGTAAACCCTAAACCCTAAACCCTAAACCCTAAAAGGCTTGTAGGGGTTTCGGGGCTCTCTGCGACTTGCAGGCGACTCCGGGGGGCCGGAGGAGACCGGGAAAGGCGGAAGGACTCCCGGATGGAACGTGAAGCTGTGGATACTGTGTAGGGTCCACGGTTTCAGCCCTAAACCCTAAACCCTAAACCCTAAACTCCAAACCCTAAACCCTAAACCCTAAACCCTAAACCCTAAACCCTAAACCCTAAACCCTAAACCCTAAACCCTAAACCCTAAACCCTAAACCCTAAACCCTAACCCCCAAATCCTAAACCCTAAGCCCTGAAGCCCAAATCCTTTGACCCTGAACCCTAAACCCCGAACCCGAAGCCCCAGTGAGGGTTGAGGGTTGGAAGGCTTTCGATTGGACAAGGGTCTTCAGCCCGCCCCAGACTTACCAGGCAATTTGCTAGAGAAGACCCCCCTTGTAGCCTTAAGGTCCTGAGAAACTATCATGTGCTTAAGAACCCCCAAAAAACAACAATGTTCTTCCTTCTAAAGGGCTATAGGGACTGTCTTTTTTGGGGGGGGATATAAAGTAGCCAACCCTGAACCCTGAACCCTGAACCCCTAAACACACAAAAGGGTGCCCTTAGCCTATTAGTACAGGCTAGACGGGCTAGTCTGGGACCACCCTAAACCCTAAGCCCTAAACCCTAAACCCTTATTAAATCTTATTAGATCTTATCATAGGCTACTCTGGGACTCAAACTCGCAGGAAAGGCCGCCATCGCAACCGGCGGAAGGAGCCGAATTTCGGGCATCATTGGGACTCATGGGCTGTTAGAGCATAGGGACCCTAAACCCTAAACCCCAAACCCCAAACCCCAAACCCTAAACCCCAAACCCCAAACCCCAAACCCCAAACCCCAAACCCTAAACCCTAAACCCCAGCAGTATAGGGGGTTCGGCATGAAGCAGTCAAGCCTCGTACACAGGAGCACAGGCCAGCAAAAGAGGGGCGAAGCCGCCACAACTCAATGGAGGCTTGCGCAGAGCCCGCGGTTCCGAAACCCTAAACCCTAAACCCTAAACCCTAAACCCTAAACCCTAAACCCTAAACCCTAAACCCTAAACCCTAAACCCTAAACCCTAGCAGCCTGCGTCGCCAACCCCCCTTGAAAGATTTCAAGGAACACGTACGGGGGTGGTTCCAAAAAGTCGTTGTGGTGCACTCCTTTAACGGGGGAGGGGGTGGAGGGGGGAATCCTATACAGTAGTTTCTTATTTTGGAGGGGCGGAAAATTATAGATATTATAGGAATTATAGGAGTACCCTTATGAAAAGCCAAGACAAGCCCCTAGATTGGTTGGCACGGCCTCTCCCTACCCTATTGACACGAGTTGGTCTAGAGTAGCTCTCACCTCCTGCAATGAATATGTTGGCCGTGTTTTCAGCATACCTAGTGAGAATCGCTTCGTTCAGATTATGATCCGCTATGAGTTGCCAGGCTGCATGCCTAAACGTGTTTGTCCAAAGTGTCTCCTTGATGTGCTCCTGCTACGACTTATGGTCTTGCATTGGCAATCTGTGGCTGACTACCCTGTACATCCCTTTACATCGCTTTATACGTCCCTTCATAGAAATCACACCGAGGACGCCACCGCAGCGCGAGCCACCCACATAGGTACATCTCTTGAAGTTGGTGCTGAACGAAAAAAAGCCTTCAACAAAAGATGTTCATGTTTACACTGTTACACCCGTGTGGCTTAGGCGTGTTCGTCCTCTTTATATACTGCTATTTGCTTAAGAAGACCCCCGCCAAAAGAAAGAAACAAAATAATGATAACAATGACAAGAAAGAATAGTCCCCGTATTGCCCTACTAAGGATGAATGTTTTCATTCTGGGGTGGTTCTTAAGCAAATATGGGGGTTTCCGAAAATACGAGTATCCATTTTGGGGGTCCCTTTGAGGGGATTCGATTCTATTTGGGGTATCAAAAGGACACCTCTATCTTGGGAAGTACTCTTAGAAGCATAACTATAGAGCCCAGAGTCGACCCTCATTCCATTTGTTTCGGGCTTAGGTTCCCTTATAATCCCCCTTTAAACCAAAAAAGGGCACCCTTCTTATCCCTAGGTCACTACTGGGCCCCTGGATTTTTAGCGCTGCAAGGGACCGTCGGAGCAGGACGTGCAGGCCGGCGACGCAGACGAGGCGCCGTTCTGTCGGGCAACGCTTCCGGGTTCAGGGCGTCATGCTGCAGAGAGCCCTAAGCCCTAAACCCTAAACCCTAAACCCTAAACCCTAAACCCTAAACCGAGGGTGGCCGAAGCTGCCCTATAAACCCACCAAAAGTGGGATCCTACTCTTAGGGTTTCGGGTTTAGGGTTTAGGGTTTAGGGCTTAGGTTTCCTGACTCTTGTTCACCTTGAGATTGGACTGGCACAGGGCCACACTTGTGGCTGCCAGTAGCCCACTGAGCTTCCTAAGCCATCTTCATGTCCTAAACCCTAAACCCTAAACCCTAAACGTTATAAACCCTAAACCCTAGATATAGGCAGATGAGACGTCAAAAGGGTCAGCGCCTTTCTTGCACAGGCTGCTGCGAGCCGCGAAGTCCAGGATCCTCAAGGATCGAGACTCATTTCTGCCTATGGTCACCCTTCCACTATCTAGCATGAGTTGATTCTAGTAAGTATAGACGATTCTGTTTTCATTTCTGAAAGAATAATCGTAGTAATCATGAATGTGTGTGTTTTTGATATCATCATTGCGTTTACTATTCATTTTTTATGTCTATTACAGCTTATTTTGGCACTAGTAGGACTAGTCTCGGTATTATGATTATGGTTGTTATGGCGCATATAGTTCTTATAGTTCTTGTGGTAATTTCAGTTCTTGTAGTTCTAGAAGTTGTGACATCAATGTTGCGTTTGTCTATACATAACATGGCGTTTGAAACTGTGTTCATCAGTTTTGGTCCCCCAGAGACGCCGACCCCCTTCAATAAGGAGAAATAATTTTGGTTTAGGGTTTAAGGCTTAGGGTGTAGTTTTTGTTTCATCATTATATGTATATTTAATCTATTGATATTTTTGTCTGGAGAACTCCTCACTGCGACATTGAGCATCAGGCAACATGCGTCGGTGGCGGTACAGACTATGACTACAGGCTGAACTTTCAGCTTCAACCAGGCCCAAGATTAAATCCAGACGATGCTCCCCAAAAGCACACCCTACGGACACGTCAAGCAACCCCATCATGCCCTGCAAAACTTGAGAAGCCCGAAACCCTAAATCCCCCAAACAAACGGTCTAGGGAACCCCTAAACCTCAAGCCCTAGGGCAAGGAATCCTATGCCCCTAAACCCAAGAAAAACGCCTTAGTGAACCCCTTTCTTTGGTAGCGGTTACGTCGTGTACGAGGTACACCTAAAGCAAGGAACCCCTTGTTCGGAGCCCCTGAGGCTTTCGTAGCTAGGCCGGCCTTTGGGAAACTTTGGGGTTTAGGGTTTAGGGTTTAGGGTTACATTTTTCTCTTACTGGGTTTAAGAGTCAGATTCAGGATACGTTTTTGAGAGGGTTTCAAGGGGCCATCCTAGGGTCCTAGGGTTTGAGCCCTAAACCCTAAACCCTCGGCGCTGCAAAAGTACAGCCAGGAGACTCTGCATCTTTGGCATCGCAAAGCGTTGAAACCGGAGACTTGGCTGCTGAAGGTGTGCTCCCTTGAAAGCCGTCTAGAGCGCCAGAGACATCCAAAGGCGAAAGGAGGAAAATTATACACCTAGAGAAATGCTGAGTTAATGGCTTGTTCTTTTCGCTTATCGAAAGCGCAGGGGAGAGTCGTCTTGAACGATTTCTTATGAAGGTTGTAGGTTCCGTGTGTGTGACTCTGGCCACCAGCAGTCGAAGTGCGTGACTCTGGCCACCAGCAGTCGATTTCAAGCTTGTTACCCCAGGTAGTGGGTGCTGAGTTGTCCCAACTGGTATAGTTGCTTGCCAGCGGGGTATGGGGTGACCTGGAACCTAATCTCAGATCGTCGACCATCCGACTTCGATGCGTGCAAGGTAGATGCAGAGGCGACTTGACCGCAAGGAAATGTCTTCAGCAACGGCACGATGGCAGAGAGTGCTTCGAGTGGCGTCTTTATCAAAGTTACGTTGCAACTTAAGATGTTAAGCCCCCCATCACACATTCACTGGCTGCAGTACAAAAGCAGTAGCAGTGTGGGGTTTCGAATGATTTTGGGGGAGTACTGTAAGGGGACCCATATCATGGGAAATACATGTATACACATGATATAAAGGTTACTTGAAAGTTCCTGGGTAGTTCAAGCAAGGCTTTAAGAACCGCCATGGGCACGTAACCACTGGTAACTCTACTTCTCAGAACTCCAGATATTTATAACTTATGGCTACCCATGAGCGTAGTAGTTGAGGTGGCAGAAAGCCCTTAACCCTGAACCCTAAAACCTCAAGAACTCAACCCTGAACCCTAAACCTCTGTGGCTTTTTTTCACAGGCACTTCACCTTCCCTGTAGTTGCTGAAGCCAAACAAGCACGCCTTGGCGATTAAACCTCCATCCCTTGATAAAGAAAGAGTGTTGAGCCACACTACGCCCTAAACTTAGGGTTTACGGCTTATGGTTTAGGGTTTTAGGGTTTAGGGTTTAGGGTTTAGGGTTTAGAGTTTAGGGTTTAGGTTGAAACCCCAAAGCCTGAAACCTCTCTGGAAGGATGCTTGGTCCGACTCCGCTGAGCCGCCCGTAGGTACAGAGCCACAGGCAGTCGCTGGAGGAGAGCCTGACAACAGCTGACAACCTTCCAAGATTGGGTTTAGGGTTTAGGGTTTAGGGTTTAGGGTTTCGGGTTTAGGGTTTGGGGTTTGGGGTTTGGGGTTTGAGTTTGGGGTTTAGGGTTGCTGTTGCTCAGGGTTTAGGGCATCTATAGTATTTCCGGGGGGCATTTAGGCTTCAGGGCGCCCCATGCATGCAGCTCAGTCCCATACCGGCCAGGAGACTCTGCATCTTTGGCATCGCAAAGCATTGACACCGGAGACTTGGCTGCTGAAGGCGTGCTCCCTTGAAAGGCATCTGGAGCGCCAGAGAAGTCGAAATGAGGGGGGCTAGAGAAATGCTTAAATAACAGCTTGTTCTTTTTGCTTATGGAAAGCGAGGACTTTGTAGGTTCAGTGTATGACTCTGGCCACCAGCAGTCGACTACAAGCTTGTTACCCCGGGTAGTGGGTGCTGAGCTGTCCCTGCTGGGATAGTTGCTTGCCAGCGGGGTATGGGGTGACCTGGAACCTAAGCTCAGATCGTCGACCATCCGACTTCGATGCGTGCAAGGTAGATGCAGAGGCGACTTGACCGCAAGGAAATCTCTTCAACAACGGCACGATGGCAGAGAGTGCTTCGAGTGACGTCTCTATCAACCACTTTCAGATGTTAGGTTGCAGCTTAAGCTATTAAGCGCCACGTTACACATTCTCTGGCTGACCCTTGTTAGGGGAAATACCTGTCTACACATTGGTATAATGGTTATTTGAAGTTTCTTGAGTAGTTATAAGTAAGGCTGTAACCCCTTGATAAAGAAAGAGTGTTGAGCCTCACTACAGCCAAAACCCTAAACCCTAAAATTAGGTTCTAGCTAGGTTTCGGGTTAAACCCTAAACCCTTAACCCTTAACCCTTATCCCTAAACCCTAAGCCCTTAACCCTAAACCCTAAACTTCTCTGGAAGGATGCCGGGTCCAACTCCGCTGAGCCGCACGTAGGTACAGAGCCACAGGCAGTCGCTGGAGGAGAGCCTGACCACATCTGACAACCTTCCAAGATTCGAGCTTCGGTTTGGGGTTTAGGGTTTGGGGTTTGGGGTTTGGGGTTTGGGGTTGCTGTTGCTCAGGGTTTAGGACATCTACAGTATGTACCCATGCCGGGTCTAGGGCTCTTGAACCCTGTAGCCCCTAGAAGCCCTGTATGCCCTAATCCCTAAACCAACGAAAAGTCTTAGAAGGGTCCGCGCACGAAGTCTTATGGGATGGGCAGAGTTGGGGGATTAGGGTGGTTTCGGGTTAAGGATTTACGGTTTAGCAGCGGGTCTCTTCTTGCCTTGCGCGTCGAGCTTGCCGCTCATTGGAGGTTGCTGTCGTTGGGTTTGGTGTTTAGGGGTTTATGGTTCGATGAGATTGAAGAAGAGCTTTTTGGGTTGAGGCCATTGAAGCCGTGGCAACGTGCAGCGACCTCTCTACTTAAGACATGTTTCGGCGGTAAGCCATTGTGTCAGAAAAAGTCCTGCGACCGCCGCTTGTCTGGCCAGGCCTTTAGGCCACAGCATCTATCTGGTTCACGGGATGGCCACCGTAAACCCAAACCCCAAACCCCAAAACCCCAAACCCCAACCCCCAAACCCCAAACCCACAACCCCAAACCCCAAACCCCAAACCCCAAACCCCAAACCCCAAACCCCAAACCCCAAACCCCAAACCCCAAACCCCAAACCCCAAACCCCAAACCCCAATCCCCAAACCCCAAACCCCAAACCCCAAACCCAAACCCCAAACCCCAAACCCCAAACCCCAAACCCCCCAAACCCAAACCCCAAACCCAAACCAAACCCGAAACCCTAAACCCTAAACCCTAAACCCTAAACCCTAAACCCTAAACCCTAAACCCTAAACCCTAAACCCTAAACCCTAAACCCTAAACCCTAAACCCTAAACCCTAAACCCTAAACCCTAAACCCTAAACCCTAAACCCTAAACCCTAAACCCTACCCTAAACCCTAAACCCTAAACCCTATACCCTAAACCCTAAACCCTAAACCCTAAACCCTAAACCCTAAACCCTAAACCCTAAACCCTACCAAAGTTCCAAGCTCGCGGTCGCGTGCCAGGGGCCCTTTGAGCTCCCGGCTCCCAAGTCCGAGCCCCGCCGAGGCCTGGAGGTGCTAAAAGTTTAGGGTTTAGGGTTTAGGGTTTAGGGTTTAGGGTTTAGGGTTTAGGGTTTAGGGTTTAGGGTTTAGGGCCTGGGGTAGTTGAGGGTTGAGGCTGTAGGGTTTAGGGTTGAGGGTAGTTTAGGGCGATTTTGGGGTTCAGGGCTGGTTTAGACTTCAGCGTTTCTTCGGACTTCGAACTTTGGGGAGTCGAGTCCGTGTTTTCCGCTAAGGGTTGCAGTGGAGAAACTTGGAGCGCAGAGGTTTTGGGGCCATTTTTCGGGAAGTTCTGTTTTGTGGGGGTTTCCTAAAGCATCCCTATGTATCCCGAGAACTAGCCCAAGAAGGGTTTAGGATTATGGCCGGTTATGGTCCTATGGTCCACTGAGCAGAGACCCATGTTTGAGGAAAACCTTGGAATTAAAAGATGGCGGGTGGAGCAGGCGTGTACACATTTGCGTATGTATATGCTTCAGCTTACATCTACACACATGTGTACATACAAACATCTTAATATTCAAGTTTACTTGCTTGTTATCTATGCATCCTGGCTGGTTTATTTGTTTGTTTGGCGTTTGCTTTCATGGTCATGCTTTCATGTCTGACTATATGGCTGAAGAAGAACTTTGAGAGGCAACCCGAAGCTTTGGATGGTTCCGGGCTTGTAGCTCATGTTAGCATCTACTATTTGCTTAAGAACTCGTTCTTGCATTTCCTTAGTAGCTGAGTAGATAACCTTTAACCTTTTGGGGTATATATACAAGCCTACCATAATTGCAAGGTCAACCTTTTTTGGGACAGGGTACTCAGCAACTAGGTTTCACCCTAGACCCTAGACCCTAAACCCTAAACCCTGACCCCTAAACCCTTAGGTTTCAGCAACACAGCAACTCGACAGAGACGTGCGAGGCGTCTACTCCTTCCAGCCTTCCACCGGCTCCTTGCGAGTGGATGGCGAGGCGGTTTCGGGGGGTCTGGGATCCCCTTCCCACTTTTTGCTTCACTTGTGAGTTCAAGAGCAGATAGAAGTGGGGTTGCAAGTAACGGAACTACATTTCTACCTGGTGCTATTAACAAAAACATGCCTGGTTGTAATCATAGCCTTATCTAGGGTGCTTATAGCCCTACTTTTATACCCATGAAACTCCAAGCACCCGCTGCTCAGGAGGTTGCGATCTTCCGCGCAGAGGCGGTCTCCACCATGCCATGGGCCAAGACTTACCGCTGGTTAGTAGGGAACGAGGGAATGAGGTACCCTATATAATCCCTTAAAGGTTGAATATGGGGGGGATATAGGGTACCTCATTCCCTCATTCACTGCGAACCAACAGTAAGAAGATGTAGAGGGGACATGCTGGGGAAGGCTCTGGTTGGGGGTTTGGGCGGATTGGAAGAAAGTGGCTGAGAAGGTTTAGGGTTTAGGTTTGGGGTGTAGGGTTTAGTGGTTAGGGGCTCGGTTTTCGGGTTTGGGGCTTAAGGTTTTTTGGGTTTAGGGATATGTATAGGGCCTCAAAGTACCTCAGCAACCCCCAGCACATTGCAGGAGCCTGCCGCGCCGAAACAGACTCAAGAAGCCAACGAGAAGGTTCCCCGCTCGAAAAAAAGTTCAGAGGGCTTAGGGTTTAGGGTTTAGGGTTTAGGGTTTAGGGTTTAGGGTTTAGGGTTTAGGGTTTAGGGTTTAGGGTTTAGGTCCTGGCCAAGCTGAATTGCCCTACTTGTGACTACGTACCCATGAACCTTCAAGGAGGTCTTGAGTGCCGCACAAAGACTTCTCTGCGCACTCTTTGATCCTAGCCTCTTCTTTGGCAGCCTCGTTTCTGAAGCCAGAGCCATTCACAGTCCATAGGCCCCCTCAACACTAATCCCCAAACCCCAAACCCCCAAAAAGACTCTAACCCCCAAACCCTAACCTCAAACCCTAACCCCCAAACCCTAAACACAAAACCCCAAACCCCCAAACCCCAAACCCTAAACCCTTTCTTGGCCATGCTGGGGTCAAAGCCGAGGCCTTTCCCCAAGCTCATCGCCGAGAGGCCGACCAAGTCCAGCCTTGCGTCGTGCGGGCGCCAAGGATGTAGCGGGGTCTTTCGGGGTTTCTTAGGGATACTTGGAGAAAAAAACTCCTTTTTGGGTACCATAATTCCTCAACAGCTATATAAAATTTGAATTTCTGCTAGGGCTCCAAGCTCAGGTAAGGTTTGAGGTCACGTGCTGGATGGACGCATGAGGCATCCGAAAATAGGCGACCCTCTCGGTGGGTCCCTTTAAGGGGATTCTTTTCTATTTGGGGTATAAAAGAGGGTAACCCTATTTTGGGAAATTCCCATCTGCGTCCAGGGATCGGTACCGGGAAGGGGTGCAAACCTGGCCTTGTCTTTCCTTATTACGCGTCTGTCTCTGCGATGCCATTGTATAAGAAGGGCCCTCGAATATTGACCCGAAATAGTGGGATCCCCTCGTAACGAGGACACCTAAAAAGGGTACTCTTAGGGTTTAGGGTTAAGGTTTTACACCCCCCACAACTTGAAGACAATTTCAGCCTCCAAGTGCCAGCGGCTTCATGTGATGCAGCCGGTGGCCAGCGTCCTCCTGTGTCCTTACTATTTGCTTAAGAACCCTCCCCATAAGAGGAAAATATAAGTTAAATAGAATATATATATATATATATATAATGAATAGTCCCCATAACTGCCCTTATAAGGAAGAATCGTTTGACTTCTTGGCGGGTTCTTATACATGTAGTAGGTCCACGCTCGAGGTGCGTGACCATTGTGAGTGGTGAGATCATCGAGGAGATCCAGATTCCTGGCTGACCTTGGCTTGGCGCAGGGTTTAGGGTTTAGGGTTCAGGGTTTAGGGTTTAGGGTTTAGGGTTTAGGGTGTAGAGTTTAGGGTTTAGGGTTTAGGGTTGACGGTTCTGTCGCTGGGCATTGTGAAATGGGCCATTAAGTTGACATGCTTCCCCGGGTTCGAATCCGAATCCCACTAGCCCCGAACAACGGAAGGGATGTAGCCCGTGGAGACTGGACACGAGCGAAGCGTCTTCAGCGAAATCAGATACATCTGCACCCAACGGGGCTTCAGCTAACCAAAACCCTAAACCCTAAACCCTAAACCCTAAACCCTAAACCCTAAACCCTAAACCCTAAACCCAAAACCCTAAACCCTAAACCCTACACCTGAACTCAGGAAAGCATCCAACGCTGGTGCTGTCTTCGTGCCTCGGGCATACTCTTGGAGGGCCCTTCATGAGGGCCGGCTCCTGCACGCTAAGCTCTCAACCTTTAACCCTAAACCCTAAACCCTAAACCCTAAACCCTAAACCCTAAACCCTAAACCCTAAACCCTAAACCCTAAACCCTAAACCCTAAACCCTAAACCTGCATGAAACCTCGTTGTTCACGGGTCCCGTGCCCTCTCAAGACTCCATTCATTAAATGCAAGACCGAAGAGGACTTTGGCTCAGGAGGCGTTGTATGGATTGCAACCAGGGCTGCTGTCGATTGTGGAGCAGTGAAGCATTCACATGGATTCAGGTGATGTGTGGCCTCCTCTCGGGTAAGCGCTAGTGAAACGATCAGTGCCCTTCCGGCCCTTCCTGCACAAATGATCAGCGGATCAGGCCCTAGCCCAGATGACAGGAAGCAACCTAAACGCCAAACCCTTAACCGTTTTGGTAGAATTATATTCGTAGAACATTCTACAATAGAATCGTAGAACCTTCTACAATAGAACCAATAGAAGATGTCTTGCAGTCTGCAGCGCAGATCCACCAATCCTCTGACCAGCGCCTGCTACGGAGGTGCTGCCGTCTCAGCTCAATGGTGCAGAGCCGCTTATCCGAAAAACTCGTGCAAAGTACCTGAAGGCTCTGATGTAGTTTCTTTTTGGTTTAGTTATAGGGGATTTTAGTGTACTACCCCAAAAAGGTACTACATAGGAGCCTTTGGGTATGCCTGCCTTGAACTAGCTGGGCTACCCCGTTGCCCTTTTTTTCGGGCTGCGGGTTCCCTTTACACGTAACCACCACCAAAACGTCTTATTGTAACACTTTTACTGGGCTGCCAAGTAAATCTGCGAACACCTGCTAAACCCCGATATGAAGTAGGTTGTGTGTTTTGTTATTGTTATTGGTGAGTGTATGTGGTTCCTTATATTTGTATGTATGTATGTATGCATGTATGTATGTATGTATGTATCTATGTATGTATGTATGTAGGTATGTATGTATGTGTATATATATACACATATATATATATATATATATATGTATCGTGACAGGATTAGTGAGAATCTTATCCTTCACATCGCTTCAGACCAATACCACAATGTTGGACCACATCCTCCACACTTGATACGGGAAGACATTCTGCCACTTCGCAGAGGCATGCCCATGCATGCCCCAACCCATCACACATTGAACTGGCTTGGCTCGGATTGTTGCGACAGTTGGCTTAAAACAGGCTGGTTCTGTCGTCGCTGTCGTTCTCCAGGAATTAGAGCGCTGGAGCTCTGATACGATGATAGCCCCCAAAAACTATACTATAATAGGCCCCCCCCAAAAAAAACATACATAGACATACACACATATACATATATACACATATATACATTCAAATTTCTAAGGCCCCTGTATTACTTGGGCATGCTAGAAATGCACACAACTTTGCAGACCAGCCCCCAAGCTCAGGTACCCGATGCACAACTACATCGCCTGTGTCTCAGAGGGCTGGGTTGGTTGAGGGTTTAGGGTTTAGGGTTTAGGGTTTAGGGTGTAGGGTGTAGGGTTTAGGGTTTAGGTTTTAGGTTCCAGAACTGTGCCTCAAGCCGCTTGAGGGACAGGATGGAGAGCATGCAACCATAAGTCACTTCGACCCCCAAACAAATCGCGCGGTGAGGTTGACCAGATCTACAAGTACAAGCACCTCGACTGCCACCAAGGGTTACACTTTTGGGCCTGGGTTTAGGCTTTAGGCTTTGGGGTTTCGGGTTTAGGGTTTAGGGCTTTAGGGTCTATGCGGGTTGGGTTCTCGAGCCTCGATATATGATGAGGCAAGATGTCAGTGTGATTGAAACCCACAGCACTGGACCCCTTCGCCCATGAGACCTGGACCTGCGAAAGCCGGACTCCACTCTGCCTTGAGGCCTTTATGAGCCCTTTGAGGCCTTAAACCCCAAGCCCTAAATCCTAAACCCTAAACCCCAAGCACCAAACCCCAAACCCTAAACCCTGAACCCCAAACCCTAAACCCTAAACCGTTGCCCTTGTTTGAGGTACGACAAGACCGGGGGGCCCAGGGGCCAGCTGGCAGTCCATCCTGCTGCCAGGGCCTTCGACAAACAAAGGAATGGGGGGGGGGGGGGGGGGTTAGGGTTTAGGGTTTAGGGTTTAGGGCTTAGGGCTTAGGGCTTAGGGTTTAGGGTTTAGGGTTTAGGTTTTAGGGTTTAGGGTTTAGGGTTAGGGGGTTTAAGGGGGTTTAAGGAGGTTTGGGGCTTGCGGTAGTTTAGGGGGGTTTATGGGGTTTGCGGGTGGTTTCGGTGGGTTAAGGGGTTTAAGGGGGTGGATTTAAGGGGTGGGTTTGAGGGAGTTTAGGGGGTTTAAGGTGGTTTAGCGGGGTTTAGGGGGTTCAGGGTTTTTTTGGGGAATTTAGGGGATTTAGGGGGTTTAGGTTGGTTTAGGGGGTTTACGAGGGTTGAGGGGGTTTAGGGTTCTCGAGCTCAAGATGAGAGAGAGGTCCCTAATCAGATGCTGTCCAGACACTACGAGTTGCCCAGCGTTGCGAAAGCCATGGTTTTTTGGGGTTTAGGGTTTAGGGTTTAGGGTTTAGGGTTTCGGGTTTAAGGCAGCACACTGACCAAGGTTGGCCAGTTCGTTCTGGACAATGCAGCCTGCGACAAGAGGCAGGCCATCTTGTATCCCCTTACCTACAGGCTCCGAGGTAGTACCCTTCAAGGGGAGTATACTGTATTCTACTAGCCCCACGAGGGGAACACAATAGAATCCCCTATGCCTAGCCCAAAAAGGTACCCTAAACCTTAAACCCTAAACCCTAAACCCTAAACCCTAAACCCTAAACCCTAAACCCTAAACCCTGAACCCTAAACCCTAAACCCTAAACCCTAAACCCTAATTAAACCCTGCAGGGCCTAAAGAGGTAGCAGGGCCACGGTGTTGCTTTTGGTTTCGGGTGGTGCGTGAGGCACCGAGGCTCTGATGGCTCGATTTCCTTGTTCCCCACCTTCGGTGTGGGTTTGTGGGTTTTAAACCCTAGGGTTTAGGTTTGGGTTAGATGTTAAACTCAACTCTTCTCCTCGCCCGGAACTCTGCTCCTCGCCCGGTCTACTCCTTAGAGACTCCCTGGAGTGCCCAACCCAGAGACTCCCTGGAGTGCCCAACCCAGAGACTCCAGTGCCCAACCCCTGAGACTCCCTGGAGTGCCCGAAAAATCCAAATCCCTAAGGTGGGGATGTTCGAAGTAAAATAATTTAGGGTTTCGGGTTTAGGGTTTAGGGCTAGGGTTTAGGGTTTAGAGTTAGGGTTCGTCTCATACAACCTGCGCCCCCCGCAAAAGCAGCGGAAAGGAAGAGGGGAGATTGTTGCGAGGCGATTTAGCACCCTCCCGCCCCCTGGAAAAATAACAAGAAACTAAATCCTGACTCTAAATAAGCCCCAAGCTCTACAAGCTCTAAATCTCGCCCCTGAACATGAACTTAGGGATTGGGTAGGTGATTTTAACTTTTTGTGTTATGTACAATCCAACCACATTTTAAAGGTGAACCTTCTTTAGGCTAGGGTATTCAGCCCCTAAGGAACAGAACCCTTTTGGTTATATAGAACCCTACTATACATATATATATATATATGTGAGCACAAGAACTTTTTTGGTTAGTAAAAGAACCTTTGTTTGGTTATCTAGAATCCTACTATATATAAAGAAAAATATACAAGAAATATAAAAATATAAATATACATCAATAGAAATCTATATATATATATATATATATATATATATAAGGTTAGCCTTTTTGCGGGCTAGGGTATTCAGCCCCCACGTAAAAGACGAACACCTTCCTCGTGACTGCAGAACCCTCGGCCTCGACGCCACGGACGCAGCCGGGGCCTAAGCCCCACTGTTCGGTTGCAAGGCCCAAACCCTAAACCCTAAACCCTAAACCCTACACCCTACACCCTACACCCTACACCCTACACCCTACACCCTACACCCTGAACCCTGAACCCTGAACCCTGAACCCCGAACCCTGAACCCTGAACCCTAAACCCTAAACCCTAACCCTAGAGCCTGAACCTCTAGACCCTAAACCCTAAACCCGAAACCCTAAACCCTAAATCCTAAACCCTAAACCCTACATACCCAAGGCAGGCTCTGGGCTTCCCTCCTGAGCTGCGATGTTTCAGTCAGCTGAACAATCAGGGACCTTCAAAGGCGCTGGCCTCTGCATGACAAGGGGTACCGTTTAGTGTATAGGGTTTAGGCCTATGAGACTCCACAAGCACGTCGTCGTAGCCATTGAAACCCTCAACCCCACAACCCCCCCAGAGCAAAAGCGGCATTTCTAGACCACACCCAAAACCCTACAAACCCTGAACCCTAACTTTGAAGCTAACCCCTAGACCCTACCTAAAGCCCTAAACCCTGCCTAGAACCCTGAACCCCAACCTACCTAAAACCCTAATCCTAGACCCTACCTAAAACCCTAGATCTCAACCCAAACCCTAAACCCTAAACCCTATACCTTAAACCCAAAACACATCTTTTGTCCTCCACTCTGCTGCAAGAGGCCCTGGCCGCTGCCAAAGCTTCCCCGACGTGGCCATCAGGGTGCCCTCTGCAAAGCGCAAAGGAGGTTTAGGGTTTAGGGTCAAGGGTTTAGGGTTCAGGGTTTAGGGTTTAGGGTTAGGGTTTAGGGTTTAAGGTTAGGGTTTTGGGTTTTGGGTTTAGGGCCAGGGTGTGATTCTCGCCCATTTAATGCTCCTTTCGGTACGCTGTTGCATGCGCCCAGCAAGCTCTGCAAAGATGCCGGCTTGGTGTAAATTTCGAGGATGAAGCAACACGCCGGAGCGGGGGGGCGGGGGGGGGGGGGGGGGGGGGGGGGGGGGGGCGCGGGGGGGCGGGGGCCCCGGGGGGGGGGGCGGGGCGGGGAGGGGGGGCGGGCGGCCGCCAAAGACTTTCATTGTTTAGGGTTTCAGGGTGTAGGAGCTAAGTTCTTCAAACAGCTGCCGTCGAAGAAGGTCAGTCACAAGCTTGCCATTTTTGGACTTAAGGGTTCAGGGTTTAGGGGACTAAACCCTAAACCCTAAACCCTAAACCCTAAACCCTAAACCCTAAACCCTAAACCCTAAACCCTAAACCCTAAACCTTAAACCCTAAACCCTAAACCCCAAACCCCAAACCCCAAACCCCAAACCCTAAACCCTAAACCCTAAACCCTAAACCCTAAACAGACAGAAATCTGTCAGCCACAGTCGCACAATGGGTCGCCAGATGAGCCTCGAGTCGAACGCACTCATGCCGCAACCGTGCGCAGAAATCGCCACCCTGTTAGGGCCTTCGTCACCTCAAACCCCAAACCCTAAACCCTAAACCCTAAACCCTGAACCGCCTAAACCCCGCATGATAAAAAGACAAATCTTCAACGTGCCCATGGCGCCTTTGGGGGGCGGGGGGGGAGGGGCCTAAAATTTCAGCGGTGGTTTTGAGGGGTCGGTCGCTAGGTGGAAGAAACAATCTTCCAAATTCAGGCTGCTGTCCCCCGGTACCACGCCCCCCGGCTCGACGTGAACAAAGGCTTTCCTAAGCTCGGGAGACCGCGCTCTCTCTCTCTCTCTCTCTCTCTCTCGCTCGCGCTCTCGCTCTCGCTCTCGACTCTCTCTCTCTCTCTCTCTCCTCGCGCTCTCGCTCCAAAATAGGATCTGGGAACATGGTACCAGGAGGATTTGGGCAGGCAGCACCCTCCGAATCTTCAAAAGCAACAACTTCGTGACTTCGTGTGTTTCGCATGTGGTTTGTGATGTTGCTTGTTTTGGTGCGTTTGTTCTTGGATGGCTTTTGGTAACTATCCTCTCCCCAGACCGATCTGAGGTCCGAAATCGATTCAGAAATCATTTTGGACTGCCTTCGAAATTTCAGGCTCCCTCCCCCCCTTGTCGCCAAGAAATAATTCAGAACCTCAACCCCCCGCGCCCCCTCCCCCCCCCTAAGTTCAATGGGTTAAGGGGGTGGGGGGGTGATGTGCAGATCAGCTTTCGGGGGGTAGGCACACTTCCAAGCCCCTACTTGGAGATTCATGGACAGTTCTCAGCGAGAAGTGGGATACGTATAGTTATAAGTGGTTATTAACTGATTTAGGGTACTTCTAAGCCTACTTCTAACTACCCATGAACCTTCAAGTACGCGTAAGCGCGCCCTGAGCTTCCACATCATGCGGTTGCAAAGCCAGGTACAACTTGCACGTGAAAAACGGATACATGGCTGTGCCCCACTGCCCCGCCTCGAGCCAGGCGGTGGGTTTGGGAGTTTGCAACGTCTTGAGGGATTTGGGGGTTTCCGAAAATAGGGGGTATCTTTCCTTATTATGATGGAATCCTACTCGTTGGGGATCCATAAGAAGGGTCCCTTATTTTTCGCAAACCCCCATGTCAGCAGAGGGTGTAAGGCACGCAGCGGAATCCAGGTTTCAGGCCTCTCGGGTCGGATCAACTCGAATTGCGGAGGCCTGACAGCTTCTTTGAGAAGTATTGCAACCACAAAGGGGTCTTCATTCCCCAATCCCTAGACCTTGAACCCTAACGCTAAACCCTAAACCTTAAACCCTAACCCTACACCCTAAACCTAAAAACCCTAAACCCTATACACCCTAAACCCAGCCTCTAGTGCCTGCTGAAGGAAGCGGTGCTCGCCAACCTGCGCTCTTCCCTGCACAGACGCGTGGCTGTAACTTATGAAATGGTTGTTAATTTTTGGGGTACCATAGTTTGTAAGAAGCAGGTAACGGCCAAAATGATAATTTCTACTAGGGTTCCATGTTCAATGCAGGCAAGAGTGGCTGAGGGTGTTGGGATGTTTAGGGCTTAGGCTGGCAGGTTTGGGGTTTAGGGCGCTTTATTACGGACCCGAGGGTTTTGCATGTTTAAGCGGCTTTGGGGGGCGGACGGGGGAAGGAGGGCGGGTGGGTGGGTGGGTGGGTAATAACGTCCATTCATATGGCGACCTTGCCCAAAACATGGGTATTTGCAGCGTCTTTGCCAAGGTTTGATGTTATATGGAACAAGACACGCATGCCCTTGGCGAAGCTGCCCAAAACACTGGTATTTGCAGGGTTTTCGCTCGGTCACAAGCGTTCATGCCTCTGGCGAAGATGCCCAAACACCGGTATTGGCAGCATTTTTGCCTCTCTGTACTCATTTGGCTCTGTGTACAACATAAGCACAAGAACGCTGTCAGCAGCGTTTTCGCCCGAAAAGCATTCAACAAACAACCACTTTGAAAATCGCACTTCGCAAAGCATCGCCGTGCGCAGTGTTTTTGCACACAATAGACCAGACACGTCCAGCGAATGCCGAGTTTTCCACGATTTCCGTCTGGCAACTCCAAAGTGACACGCATCAAACACTTTGGTCCACAGTGGACGGCGTTACGGCTACCGGTTTTAGGATGTTTTAGGGCTTAGGGTGCTTTATGGCAAGTCAAGGGTTTGCTGTAGCTAGTTTAGGAAAGAAACATGACAGACCGATGCCCCGATAGCCAACTACAGCCATGGTTAAGCGACTTCTCGTGAAGGCGTTGCTTGAAGGTTCACGGGTAGACATAACTGGGATTATAAGTCCCCCAATTTTGGTTATACTTATAACTATAGTTACCTTGCTTGTAACCCCAGCTATAATTAACCATGAACCTCCAAGTACGGCGCAGCTAATCTTCCAACCCAACCCCACCTGAGCACCACAAAAAAAGCGTAGACAGCCCCCACTACCCAGACCCTTTAAAGCTCTAAGCGTCCCTCCCTAAACCCTAAACCCTAAACCCCAAACCCTAAACCCTAAACCCTAAACCCTAAATAAGCCCTAAGCCCCAAACTTGGGATGTTCCTCTTTATACTAACAGTCTTTAATAGGGATTCTAGTATCCCCCCCCCATTTAAGGGGAAACATCCCTAAACCCTGAACCCTGAACCCCAAACCCCTCCACCCAAAGAATGCTCCAACCTAAACCCGAAACGCTAAACCTTAAACCCTAAACCTTAAACCCTAAACCCTCAACCCTAAACCCTAAACCCTAAACCCTAACCCCCCTCCCCCCCTTCGGGACGTGAATCCAGAAATGCGCTGCCTCTCCGCGTGGGGAGTGCCTGCTGCGGGTCTGAGGCCGAGGGGTTGGAAATTGTGGTTCTACAATACAAAGCTAAAGGCATAACATTCCATGTACATAAAGAAAGAGAAAGACATCACATACATATACATATATATATATGTGTCTATATGGATATGTATGTGTGTGTGCATGTGTATATGTATATGTATATGTATATGCATATGTATGTATGTATATATATATATATGTGCATATGCATATACATATATATGTATGTGTATATACATTTTGTAGTTTTCTCTATCATCGCACCATTCTCAAGCACCTCAACTTGTTTGTTGGGTTCTTAATGCTTCTGCTACAATATCGTATTTCGTGTGTGTCTCTATATGCATGTCTGTAGCCTTCGTGAGGGCACCAACTTTCCAGGCTTCTTAGCACTCTCCGTTCTGCTGGGCTGACGAGCACACCGTCTTCACCCTCAGCCCACACGAAAAAAACTGTTTAGGGTTTAGGGTTTAGGGTTTAGGGTTTAGGGAGCTACTCCGGAAACTGCCCAGAACTTATTGACCCATCCTCGAACTCCGCAAGAGTTCTGCGTGCCGCCTGAATGTCTGCCTTTATGTCAAGCCCCTGTTGTCGAAAACGAGGAGCACACTGTTGCTGCTTGCTGTGAGTACTTCCTGTGATTGTTCATGAGCTCGCCTCTTCCCAAACGCAAGCTCATGAACCTGTTAGTCATTGAGCCCCGATGTGTCAGATAGAGGCAGCAAGTGTTTCCTGCCTTGCTAGAGTAACCTCTATACCCTTCCAAAAGGGAGGTGTACCTTATCCTAAACCCTACACATCCCTAAACCCCTAGTTCTTGGTATACTTACTCTGTGTTAAGGATAGATTAAAGTTCACTCCAGGTAGCTTCGAAGTGACCGTCTGGCCGCTGTGAGCCCTAAACCCTAAACCCTAAACCCTAAACCCTAAACCCTAAACCCTAAACCCTAAACCCTAAACCCTAAACCCTAAACCCTAAACCCTAAACCCTAAACCCTAAACATAAACGCAGGCCAGACCTCCAGGATTTTTCCGCGGCAGCGCACAAGGCATCGGGCTCAGAGAGAAGGAGAACCGTTTTGACCACTTCGGAATTTGGGACCTTTGCTACGGAAATCTTGGCTTGGGGATAGGCGTTCGGGGGTTTGGGTTTACTGCGGGTGTCTGCAGCTTTGTTGCTGCTATCTACTTTGTTGTCTGCTCTGCCTGTGGTAGATGATCTTGATGTTCTCTGACTGCACTGCAACGTTCTCGGACACCGCCGAAACTGAAGGTCCATATGGTGTATGCCTCCGCCATTCCTGTCAAGGCCGACCACTGCGTGCTGCAACACAGGAGTGCGAAATTCATTCCACGACAAAGTGACTCCGAATTTTATGTGAGAAGTCTTTTCCTGAAGCCGCCTGCCCATGGGTAGTTTCCTAGTTATGGTCCTGGTCTCTTTTGGGGGGGGTCCTTCTTGTAAGGGTGCCGTACTACATGGAGGACCCCAGAAGGGACCCTAATTCAGCGAACTACCGGAGCCCAAACTTCGAATGGAGTTCAATACCGCGTGCGTGCTCGCGCCAAGGAATGGCACGGTTTGGGCATTGAGTTTAGGGTTTAGGGTTTAGGGGTTAGGGGTTAGGGTTGAGGGCGATGCAACTAGTCAGATGTTGACATTGTTGTATATTGCCATTTGTGTAACACGTGTGTAAACTTTGGTTGTATATGTCCACCATACGGACTGCTCAGAAATCTCAGTTGTCAATGTTATCGCATCGAAGATAAACTTATATCTTTATATGCGCGAAGATGTTCTCATGTGATCAACACATTGCAATCCTCATAGTCTGAGTTGCAACTATAGCAATACCCATACACTCAACCTCGCCCATCATGAACCTTCAAGTAAATTTATCGCAATTTTGGTACATCATGGCTTCTTGCAGCCCATCCCACAATGTTGTACCTTCCCTAAACCCTAAACCCCAAACCCTAGACCCTTCTTTCGTAAGTTCTCCCCTGCCCCTTCTCCCCGAACAGTCTACAACTTACACGGTCGGAGGCTTTTTTTCAGGAGCCGCTCCCAGAGCGAGGTGCCCGGCACTTGCCCATAGCCTAGCAACTGTTGACCTACATACTCCTTTAAAGGGTTCTGATGTATGGGCCCTTCATTTGTGTAGGGTATATAAACGGTACCCTTTTGAGGGCCGACGCTAAGGGTCCATGAAACTAGCCTTAGACTTATAGGCGACATTCCTGCAAAAGTGGATCCACTTCTTTGTCGCAGCAGCAATGCAGGCATACCTCAATGCCGGCAACATGGATGTCGCATTTCAGGAGACTCTTTGTCATGACTCTGCGCTTTCTCTTGCTTCAAAGTTCAGTTACATGAAATAAGCATAAGAGGGAGTGCAACCGACAGCTACAGTAAGTATCGCACACGACTTCTTTGTTCTGGCTTCTTGTGCCAGAGTTTAGGGCATTAATGCACAGTCTCACAGATTCCCTGAAAATCAAGCCTGAAGCCGGTGGTGTGTGTGTGTGTGGTCTAGGGCTTAAGGTTTAGGGTTTACGGTTTACGGTTTAGGGTTTAGTCTCTGTCTCATGTGTCTCCGTGTTTTTTTTGCGAGGTGTCCTTCATGAGTTCCACGGGTTGGACATCCTGCCTTTAGTTTAAGGTTCAGGGTTCAGGGTTCAGGGTTTAGGGTTTAGGGTTTGGGGTTTGGGGTTTAGGGTTTAGGGCCTACAAGTGCTTCGGTACTACAAGAAAGTGCTCTACTTGAGGGTCCCTACTGGGAGGTTTAGGGGGTAGGGGCTTCATGGGTAGTTATAAGTGAGACAACTATAAGTTGGCAATAACCTTGTTTGGAGTACTTATCACCCTACTTATAACTACCCATGAACCTTCAAGTAGCTTCGGCTTGGCAGAAGGGGGTCACAATCTTTGGTCTGATCTCCCCACCCAGACTTGATGTTGTGGTCACATGGACAGGAGGAGATCAGCCGCCTTGTGATCCTTAGCCAGCACCTCACCGGCAAAGGAGAGTTGCAGGCTTGCAACCCCAACCCTAAACCCTAAACCCTAAACCCTAAACCCTAAACCCTAAACCCTAAACCCTAAACCCTAAACATTGAGAGAATCCGTGGGATGCTGGGGAAAGTTGGGAGAAGCCGGGTTCGGCTCTCAGTGCGCGGAAAGGATGTGTCCTCAGCTCTCGAGAGGGGACCTTGGGGTTTAGGGTTTAGGGTTTAGGGTTTAGGGTTTAGGGTTTAGGGTTTAGGGTTTAGGGTTTAGGGTTTAGGGTTTAGGGTTTAGGGTAGGTGCTTGGCACCGTTTGGCCGAAAAGTTGACAAAGCCTGGGCCTTGAAAGGTTAAAGGCAAGCCTCAAGCCTTTTTTTGTTTTTGTCTTGCGGAGCTGGCGGGGGGGGGGGGGGGGGGGGGGGCGTGGGAGTTCTTAAGCAAATAGTGGTAAACCCTAAACCCACTGCCTTGAAAACGGATGTACACTTTTTCATGATGGCTACCGTGTAAGCCCCAAACCCTGCAAACCTTTATACCCCACAAACCCTTTCACCGTGCAAAGCCTATGAACCCAAAAAATCCAGAAACTCTATAAACCCCACAACCCCAATACACCTCACAAACCCTATAAGGCCTATAAACTTCATAAGCCCTGCAAAACCCCGACGAGCAACCCTATAACCCCCCCCCTGTTGTACTGTTAACCTTGTCATGTAGCAGTAGCACTAGCAGTGGCAGTAGCAGTAGCAGTAGCAGTAGTAGTAGTAGTAGTAGTAGTAGTAGTAGTAGTAGTAGTAGTAGTAGTAGTAGTAGTAGTAGTAGTAGTAGTAGTAGTAGTAGTAGTACAGTAGTAGTAGTAGTAGTAGTAGTAGTAGTAGTAGTAGTAGTAGTAGTAGTAGTAGTAGTAGTAGTAGTAGTAGTAGTAGTAGTAGTAGTAGTAGTAGTAGTAGTAGTAGTAGTAGTAGTAGTAGTAGTAGTAGTAGTAGTAGTAGTAGTAGTAGTAGTAGTAGTAGTAGTAGTAGTAGTAGTAGTAGTAGTAGTAGTAGTAGTAGTAGTAGTAGTAGTAGTAGTAGTAGTAGTAGTAGTAGTAGTAGTAGTAGGTGACACGCTCTTAACTGATCATGGTGTTTTCTGCTGTTTTTTGACTTTTTCTATCGTTTTCTCTGGTTTTTTCTGCGTTTGACGGGTTGGGGGGGGTGGGGGGGGTGGGTGGGGGGGGGGTAATTACGTGCTGTGCTTTGTGCACACATGACCATGCTGAGGGGTTGGGGGGGGGGGGTGGGGGGGTAATTACGTGCTGTGCTTTGTGCACACATGGGGGTCGTGCTGGGCTTTGTGCACGCTTGACCACGCTGTCTACTGTTTTCCTCTGTTTTTTTGGTTGGTTTAGGGGCAAGATCTTTTGGGCTCACAGTGGAGGGTTTAGGGTTTGCAGGTACAGATCTTTTGGGCTTTTTTGGGAACCTTTTGGGCTTCCAGTGGAAATATGGGGTTTGAGGTTTCAGCCTACAGATCTTTTGGTTTTTTTGGCATCTGGGGTTTAGGGTTTCAGGGCAAGACATTTTGGGCTTACAGTGGAGGGTTTAGGGTTTGGGGCTTGAGGGTAGAGACCTTTTGAGGTTTTTTGGGATTTGGGGTTTAGGGTTTAAGGGTAAGACCTTTTGGGCTCACAGTGGAGGGCTTCGGGATCTTTTCGGCTTTTTGGGATTCACAGTGGAGGGTTTAGGGATCTTCTGGGCTTTTTTGGGATTTGGGGTTGAGGGTTTAAGGAAAGGGTTTGGGGTTGAGGCTGTAAGGTGAAAGGACTTTTGGGCTTTTTCTATGGGATTTAAGGTTTAAGGGGGTGCACTGTGGGACTGCTTTGTCATTCAGGGTACACATGGGGTTTGGGGTTTCAGGCTCCAGATGTTTTGTGTTTTTTTCTGGGGACGTGCTTGACGCTGTGGGGTTGAGATTTTAAGGGTGCACGACTCTTGGGCTTGCTTCAGGTTTCGGGGTTTCGGATTTCAGGGTGCACGACTGTTCGGCTTGCTTCAGGTTTCGGGGTTTCGGATTTCAGGGTGCACGACTGTTCGGCTTGCTGGAGGCGTTCGGGTTTAAGGACAAGTTTGGCCACATCTTAAAAAACCCGCGAAACGCTGTAAATACCGATCTTTTCCTCTGTTCTGAGAACACGTCTGCGCAAAATAGGCCCTTTAATTGACCGTTTTTGAAGCCCGAAAACACTGTAAATACCGATGTTTTCCTCCTGCGCATAAAGTAGTTGAAAGTAGTTTGCGCGACTTTTGCAACATCCATTTTTCGTGTCCGTAAACGGACAAAGCCAGGAAACGCTGTAAATACCGAGGTTTTCGTCTCTTAACACGAAAATTGCATGCCACAAAACCCCTGCGATCAATTAAGAACGTGACGCCTAGTAGTAGTAGTAGTAGTAGTAGTAGTAGTAGTAGTAGTAGTAGTAGTAGTAGTAGTAGTAGTAGTAGTAGTAGTAGTAGTAGTAGTAGTAGGCTTAGGGCTTAGGGCTTAGGGCTTAGGGCTTAGGGCTTAGGGCTTAGGCTTAGGGTTTATGCAAAGCAATGCATCCAAGCCCAGATACTTCGGCGCTCTTCGCCTGGCGGCTGCGGCGGCAACACCGCCCGCAAAGCAGCGCGTGGTGCTGATGCCTTTGGGAGGCACCTCTCAGGGAACGCGGTTCCTTGGGTTTAGGGTTTAGGGTTTAGGGTTCAGGGTTTAGGGTTTAGGGTTCAGGGTTTAGGGTCAGTAACCTTCCAAAAAAACTTCCTTAAGACCTGTTGAGCGGTTGAGAGGCGGGGTTAAGCATCAGCCTGCAGAGCGGAGTTCCCCTTTCTTCCTTATTCCATCCCTCAATCCCTCGAAGTCCTAAGCCAGTCTTGCCGTTGGTTGGGGTTTAGTGTGTTACAAGTAGGGTTGTAGGCAAATACCCCATTAAGGGTCTTAGGGTTTAGGGTTTAGGGTTACAAAGGGTCCCTTAATACGGTCACTCCTTTAAGTATGGGCCCTTGGGTTGTTTAGGGTATATGAGGGGTATGTTAGGGGTCCGTCCCCTTTTAAGGGCCCGTATTAAGGGACCATGCACATGGGTATAAGTAGGTATTTTTCAGAGGGTTTTAAGGCCATCCGAGTTATAAGTAAGGTAACTCGAACTAGAACTGGTTAATAACCTTATTCAGGGTTCTTATATCCCTACTTACAACTATCCATGAACCTTCAAGTAGTGCGATTTCCAGGAACAGTTCATGCCAATTGTGGCCCCTTAAAGCTCGGTCTGAACGCTCCATGAAGAACCCTAAACCCCAAACCCCAAACCCTAAACCCTGAACCCTAAACCCTAAACCCTAAACCCTCCAATCTAGCTGCGGCAGGCGGCGTTTTTAACAACCGAGCCGAGGCGCTTGGCCCCAGACCGTCAGCAGCATGGGAGGGCACCACAGTCCCTGTGATTTGTTTAGGGTTTAGGGTTTGGGGTTTAGGGTTTGGGGTTTAGGGGTGTGCGTATGTTTTGTTTGTATAGAGCCCAGGGGAGTATGCAACGTTATACTTTCAGGATGGTCTTGAGGGAGTATGTGATTCACGGGAGTATAACACCTTACATAGTCCTTTTTGCCTCAGTAGCCCCTCCTTGTCAGGGTCCCTCCTTCAGTCCCTTGATTGGTGCATGGGAGGGTCATCTCGGAGGCAGCTTGGGATTCGCAACAAACTAACCCTAAACACTAAACCCTAAACCCGAAACCCTGGAAACACCCACCCCCCCCCCCCCCCAAACCAAGGTCCAGGCTTTGTTTCAGGCCCTGCACCCTAAACCCTAAACCCTAAACCCTAAACTCTTGGGATTGCTGTCAAGCCCGACGTCCGGCCACAGGTGATTGTGGGAGCGTTGGTCACCGCACTCCAGGCTCTCAGGGGCCAGGATGCATTGGGAGCTTCGTGGGCAGTTACACTAGGTTTGTAAGGTTTAGGGGGGTTAAGGGTTTAAGGGGTTTAAGGGGTTCAGGGGGTTTGGGGGGTTTAGGGGGTTTGGGGGGTTTAGGGGGTTTAGGGGGTTTAGGGGGTTTAGGGGGTTTAGGGGTTGGGCATCTGTAGTTGTAAGTGTGGTTATGCCCCATTTGAGGGCCCGACCGCGAGCTTTTGATGCTTTTGAACAGCTGCATTGTTCTTGGGGAGTTGGAGTTTCTGTGCTCAACAGGCTTTTAAGTCAAGGCTTGCTCCAGGGTTTAAGAGGGTTTAGGGCTTAGGGGGTGAGAGAACAGCAGCCTGCACAAAACGTAGTGTTGCCTGTGAATTTTGGTTGAACCCATTGGGGATGCTCCAGGCGTGTTGCCTTCTTGATTCCCTTAAACGCCCCTCATCCCCAACTAATTAAGCCAGTCATGCAAGTAGCGGTGGGCGCAAATCCAGGAGCCTCTAGTACCGCTAGCGCTGTAACAAGTATGGCACGGCTGCAAGCCCTCAATCGAAACACCCCACCCTAAACCTTAAACCCTAAACCCTAAGCCCTAAACCCTAAGCCCTAAACCCTAAACCCTAAACCCTAAACCCTAAACCCTAAACCCTAAACCCTAAACCCTAAACCCTAAACCCGCCCCTTGTTTCATGCCTGAAGTTTTCGGAGGTGCTGGCTGCCCAGGGCGTAGATGTTTCGAGGCAGGAGCTCGAACAGACGCAGTGATGGGGGTTGGTTGGGGTGGGGGGGGGGGGGGGGGGGGGAGGTGGGGATTTCGAGTTGAGTGTTTGCGTTCTATTACTACATAGTGCATGTTAATGCTGATATTGGTGGGGATTTGGTGTTTGATTTCTATTTCATTGTGCATTATGTATTGAATTGTATATTGTGTGTTTTGTGCTCATGTTAGATTGTTACATGCTCGTACATATTGCCATATTGCTGTTTTTTCTACATACTAGTTTTTTCTATTACATGCTGCTTTTGTGATTTAGGGCTCGGGCCTTGTTGGCGCCCTAAACCCTAAACCCTAAACCCTAAACCCTAAACCCTAAACCCTAAACCCTAAACCCTAAACCCTAAACCCTAAACCCTATAAACCCTATAAACCCTATAAACCCTATAAACCCTATAAACCCTATAAACCCTAAACCCTGAACCCTGAACCCCGTGTAGGCTGGACGTCCGGCTACTGGCCTTCCGGGGCAGCGCTGGCGAGCAGGAGACATGCCCCTCGAAAGCCCTGGGCCTAAACCCTAAACCCTTAACCCTAAACCCTTAACCCTAAACCCTAAACCCTAAACCCTAAACCCTAAACCCTAAACCCTAAACCCTAAACCCTAAACCCTAAACCCTAAACCCTAAACCCTAAACCCTAAACCCTAAACCCTAGCCCTAAACCCTAAACTTGCCCTAAACCCATGGAGCTCCCAATTTTTTGGCTTCCAATGTGATCTTGCGCCCGCCCGGCCCTGCCAAGTCTACATTTCTTCATTTTGTAAGCATGGCTCACGACGTGCTCTGAACCTGACCGCTTCGCTGCCTCCTGTACTCTGGGGGTTTACGAAAATAGACCCATAAGATAGACCCCAAACAGTAGGATCCCCTTAGGAGGAGGACCCCAGTAAAGTACCCCTATAATATCGTAAAACCCCCATCTGTAGACTCACAGCTCATGCTCATCTCTCATCCTTGTCCTTGTCTGCTCCACAGGAGCGCATGTCGAAGCTCTTCCGCAGCTTCTCGTCCGAAGCGCCGGCGGCGCCCGCGGCGCTCGCGGCGCCCGTGGTCTCGGTGGCCCCTCCGGCCGTCACGACAGCGGCCCCGGCGCCACCCATCCCACCTGCAGCGCGGGTGGAGCCTTCGGAGCCACGCTCCTCGACCGGCGAGGCGCGCGCGGTACGCGCGCCCGCGGAGCGGGCCGAGCCCAGCTCCGAACCCAGCCGCCGCGAAGAGCCCCCGGCGCCGAAGGAAACCAAGGAAACCTCGGAAGCCAAAGCTGTTGGGCCCAAGCCGGCTCCATCAAAGCCCAAGAGGTCAGTCCTGGACATGCTCCTGGGATCTGACAGCCAGTGATGAGGGCCCCCCAAAAAACCACATCAAGGTAAGGATCCTACGAGTACTACCCGGGTAGAAGGGCCCTCTCTCTAGAAGGGGGGATTCTGGAAAGCCATGGTTTGTAGAATCCTCATAGTCTTGGTAGCCCAGTGGTACCCTTTTCCCTTTTTCTTTCTTGTTCTGGGTTCCCTTATAAAATAGCCAACCCAAAAAAGGGTGCCCCTACTATAACATGGTTACTGGGCTACCAAGTAATGGATGTGGTTTTTTGGGGCCCCTACTAAAGGATGAGGAGCCTGGCTCTTGAGCCCTTCTGCGGGAGTTCAAAGCAGTCCACGACAGCTCCCAAAGATCCTCAAAGGGCTGGGCAGGTTTGGGGTTTAGGGTTTAGGGTGCAGGGTTTAGGGATTTAGGGATTTAGGGATTTAGGGATTTAGGGATTTAGGGATTTAGGGATTTAGGGATTTAGGGATTTAGGGATTTAGGGATTTAGGGATTAGGGATTTGGGGATTTGGGGATGTAGGGATTTAGGTTGAAGTTTGAAGTCTGGAGTCTGAGTTGTGCTGAACATGGCGGGGGTTTCCGAACATAAGTTTTTTTTGGGGGGGGTATATTCAGGGTTGGTATCCTCATTTTTGGGGGGAACTGCCCATGCTGCCGGAGCTTCACAAGCTTGCGTGACGCATGTGCGCATGCATCTACAGTACGTACCTTAGGAGCCCAAAGCAATGTTGCTTTCTAGTCTCTTTACAGCTCCCACCATGTTTAATCATTCTTTTAGAAAGTGATTGGCATGTAGAACCGACATATACATCATCATCGTCATCGTCACCATCATCATCATCATCATCATCATGATTATTATCATCATCATCATCGTCTGTCAGAATGTTTTTTTAGATTTTCGTGTTCCTCTTTTACATCTACTAGATACTGTTGTTTGCTCTTTTTTCTGGAGACACAAATCCAAACATCAGTTATACCCGGTTTGGATTTGGGTATTTCTTGCTACTGGTGCGCAGTCATCCACTCCTTGTTCAAAACTACCCTGTGTGGTCATATTATCATGTGCCTTTTTCAGCTTGAACAACATGTCTATCAACAATACTTCCGAGTAGCCGAAGCAAGAGTAGCATAGGAGCTGGACAGGATGCACAGATAGGGATCCGTTGATGGATTGGTGCACCCCTGGACCGGATCACTCAGCCGCTTCGGTCTGCATGACGCCGTTCTTCAGTTCTTCATGAAGAACGGGCACAGTCATAAGTTGTTGATACGACGCAAGCCCTCTAGGCGCAATCTGTAGCATCGGGTTCAATCACTGCAAAAACACACAGCAGAGAATGGACGTTAACTAGGCGACTAAAGCTCTGAGAGCCTTTCTGGGCCACTGCACCTGTAGCTTTGTCGAACCGCCCTGTCGGCTGCCATGGCACTCTTGGCCAAGGTTGGGGCTCCGCAAGGTGTCATGTTTCATTTCTGAGTCTTCTCCGACGGTTTGATGCCCAACTCAGGCTGCTCTTCCCCCCTTATACTAGCAGTCCTTAATGGGGAATATAACGGGGGGGGGGGTACTATAACCCTATTAAAGGCTGTGACTCGTAGTACAAGGGGAAACATCCCCATGCATGCTCCTTGCATGGAATCAAAATCTCCCGTTTTCTTCACCCCTCAGCCCACTCAAACCCGAAGCCCTAAGCCCTAACCCTAAACCCTAAATCCTAAACCCTAAGCCCTGATCCCTAAACCCTAAACCCTAATTGCAAGGGGTGCGCTTTGGGTGCACCGCCGGCGCTGCCTGTGGCGAGGCGGAGCGGCACACCGAAAAAAGGTCAGATGTAAGATGAGGAGCCGTTGACTGCTTCGGGTTTAGGGTTTTGGGTTTAGGGCTTAGAGTTTAGCTTTAGGGTCTCAGCCACGCGAAACGTTCCACATTGCGATTCTAAGTATTACGACTCTTGCCTATGTACATGAAAGCTCGCAAGCAAGCATCCCATGCAGGCATGCCTCAAAGCCTGGGAAGGCTTTTCCCGAAGCTCACGGACGAGGCAGCAAGCACACTCGCATCTCAGTGTCTGGTTTATTTAGGGTGTATTCGATGGTCATGGGAGTTGTCTTGCTTGGGCTTTCTCTGTCTTTGATTGCACGCCGTACGATTTGAACCCCCAAGCCCTCTAAACCCTCTATAACCTCAATTCAACCCGAACCTGCTGTTGCGCGCCCCACGATGCATCAAGTCAATGTCCAAGCACACGCCCCCCCTTGGCCTAGCGGCTGCCAAGGTGTGTCGACGGCGCACGCGGCAGCCAGCACAGTCTTGGCGGCGGGCATTGTGGGGAAGAGGTGGCACCACGAGATTCGCGATGTTGTCTTTTGTTGCGATTCGGCATGAAGAAGGCTCGAGGTGCTAATTGAGCCAATGCCGGGAATTGTGAACTCGTTCATATTCTGTGGGTTAGTGGCCGCAACGTATATGCCCAGAATACATGAACGCACAGGCGCATGCGCATAGTGGGCTTGTCTTCGGAACTGAACTTCCCTCAGCCTCCGGCAAGTTTTCAGCAGGGTTACAACGTGTCAGGCTATCCTCCATGTGGTCTTAGCGTAGGGCTCCGAAATGAGCAGCGGAAGTAAATTTACTGTTTGCTTCAGGTTCTTAAGCAGTTCGTAAAGTGATACGCCGTGTGCAAAGCGACGTGCCCCGGGCTGGGCATGGGTGTGGACCTTTATTGACAAGTGTTGCTTGAGGTTCCCTTTAGACATTTGGTCAGTTCTCTACGTAAGGTCCCTTTCGAGATCCCTGTCGTATCACAGGCCCTTCCCTTCTACGCTCAGAGGGCCCCGAAAGGTCCACAATTTAGAGTACGGACCTTGCTGACTTGTGGGCAAGGCCATCTCTTCTCTGAAGCTCCTAGAAGAACCCTGAACCCAAAACCCTACACCCTAAACCCGAAACCCTAAACCCTAAACCCTAAACCCTAAACCCTAAACCCTAAACCTAAGTCCCGCATCCCTTCCGCTGTTCCCTACACAGTGCGCTTGGGGGTGCCAGAATTGCCCGGACCCAACGGGAACAGTCAAGATAAGCAGCTCCCCTAAGGTTTAGGGTTTAGGGTTTAGGGTTTAGGGTTTAGGGTTTAGGGTTTAGGGTTTAGGGTTTAGGGTTTAGGGTTTAGGGTTTAGGGTTTAGGGTTTAGGCTAAAACTGCAACCCTCAGTCAGCATCCCTACAACCTATGGCTTACTCAGCCCATCTCAACCCTAAACCCGTACACTCTAAACCCTGAGCCCTAAACCCTAAACCCAAAGCCCTAAACTCTAAATCCTAAACCCTAAACTCTAAACCCACAAGGCGGATGGCACGGAAGACCGCCGTAAGGGCCAGGGCCCCAGGCCTCTACGACCTGGGTTTAGGGTTTAGGGTTTAGGGTTTAGGTTTTAGGGTTTTTTTGTTTAGGGTTTGGGGTTTATAGGGTTTAGGTTTAGTAGGGTTTAGGGCGTTGTAGTTTCAAGGGCTTTAGATGAGGGCTTTTGGGGTTTAAGGGGGCTTATGGCTTTTATCAGGTTCAAGTTTAGGGCTTCTTCGTCCGTTCCAGGGTTTAGGGTTCAGAGGCATGCCACAAGACTTAAAAGAGGTGAGGAAGTGGCTTCTTCAAGCGATTCATACTTGTACCCCTGTAAGGGTGTACCCCTGAGAGAGGTTCCCTTAATATACGCCTAGTCTGCCCCCTTCTCTGTTCCTTAACGATCACCCTAAACGCTAAACCCTAAACAACCCCAAACCCCAAACCCCAAACCCCAAACCCCAAACCCTAAACCCTAAACCCTAAACCCTAAACCCTAAACCCTAAACCCTAAACCCCAGGCGTCCCAAAGGTGGCGACCCCAGAAGCCTCATGACTTCTCAGGAAAGCGCCGAAGCATGCGCCCATAAGACCCTGCAAGCCTTAGCGTCGTAGTGCTCAAGAGGGGAGAACTGGAGTGGCTTAAACCCTAAACCCTAGCCCTAAACCCTAAACCCTAGCCCTAAACCCTAAACGCTAAACCCTGAACCAGATCTTACACTGACGTACACTCGCATCTGCCGATATCGCTCCGTTAGCCATCAGAAAGAAGCCCTAAACCCGAAACCCTAAACCCTAAACCCGACACCGGCAGACTCCAGAACCCGAAGCGTACCGTTGGAGTAAGCTTAACTACCATAAACAAGGGGGTAAGCCATGTCCAATAATTACTAGGCTTACAGGGTTAACAGGGCTGGTAGATAATTGGCTTTATAGGGTTATTCATCGGGTTCTTCATATGTCTAGAATAACCTGAGCACCCTCGAAAAGGGCAAATATACTACACCCGTCACCCTTACTTTGGGAAGGAGGCGGGAGGTGCACGGACTGGACCCCCGAACCTCAACCCTTCAAGCCCCTATACTCCACACAACAGCTGTTAGGGTTTCGGGTTTTCGATGTAGGGCTTGTATACCAGCCTCATCTCAAACCCTAAACCCCTTTTGAAGGACCCCAAAATAGTACCTTAGCTTTGTAAACAAGGACCCCAAAACAGTACCTTAGCTTTGTAAGGGGCCCAGACAAGTCCAAGGCTGCACCGCCCCTGAATGGCCGCGTCACTGTGGATGCTGATTGCCCGGATCGTTTGAAGGTTTCGGGTTTCTAGAACCCTGTACCTTCCACGGATCCCTGGAAGTATATGGTTTAGGGTTTAGGGTTTAGGGTTTAGGGTTTAAGGTTTAGGGTTTAGGGTTTAGGGTTTAGGGTGGCTCTATAACCCCTAGGACTCACTTGTTCGGTCCCTGGAAGTATAGGGGTTGGTTCCCAATAGCATGTTGACCGCAACGGTTTGACTGAGATTGGACCGGCACGTTTGTGGTTTGGAACCTACTATGACATGTGGTCAGTTCTCGAAAATATGGTGCCTGTTTGGGTGCCTAAATCTTAGGGCCCGCCGAATTGTAGCAACCCCAAAAGGGGCCCGGTTCCTAAACCCTAAGCCCTAGTTGGTAGCGTGGTGGAAATGAAGTGTCGGTTTCCGGGGCATTTTGGGCATCCGCCTTTGGGTGTCCTGCAGCCGTTTTGTTGGTGCTTTTTTAGTTCTTTCTTACCGGCCCCCTAAACCCTAAACCCTAAACCCTAAACCCTAAACCCTAAACCCTTTGGGGTGCACTTCGCAGCTTTTGAATGCCCTTCGGAGCTTTTCCGATCATGTCGGAGCCTTGTTTAGGGTTTAGGGTTTAGGGGTTTAGGGGTTTAGGGGTTTAGGGGTTTAGGGGTTTAGGGGTTTAGGGGTTTAGGGGTTTAGGGTTTAGGGTTTAGGGTTTAGGGTTTAGGGTTTAGAACTGTTCGACTTGTGTAGACACAGAACTTTGCAAGCTCAGAATGATACGTTGGCAAGTGGAGCGACCTGAGCAAATTTGAGTTTTCAGCTTTTCTGGGGTTGGTGATCCCGGCTTGGGGATTGCAACAATGGTAACCCTAAACCCTAAACCCTCAACCCTAAACCCTAAACCCTAAACCCTGGTGTTATGCCCTCAGTTGTTTTACTCATAACCTTCAACGTGCAAGCCTTGGAGCTGAAAACGCGGCAGACCCAAAACGACTGAGTAATCTTTAGGGCTTCGGGTGTAGGGTTTACGGTTTAGGGTTTAGGGTTTAGGGTTTAGGGGTTTAGGGGTTTAGCAGAACCTGAGGAAGGCATCCGCAGCGACTTCCCGGCGCTTCAACAAGAGGCCCGACTTGCATGTGGGGGGTTTCAGGAAATAAGTAGGGTTTAGGGGTTTAGGGTTTAGGGTTTATGGTTTAGGGTTTAGGGTTTAGGGGTTTAGGGGTTTAGGGGTTTAGGGGTTTAGGGGTTTAGGGGTTTAGGGGTTTAGGGGTTTAGGGGTTTAGGGGTTTAGGGGTTTAGGGTTTAGGGGTTTAGGGGTTTAGGGGTTTAGGGGTTTAGGGGTTTAGGGGTTTAGGGGTCTAGGGGTTTAGGGGTCTAGGGGTTTAGGGGTCTAGGGGTTTAGGGGTTTAGGGGTGTAGGGGTTTAGGGGTTTAGGGGTTTAGGGGTTTAGGGGTTTAGGGGTTCAGGGGTTCAGGGGTTAGGGTTTAGGGTTAAACCCGAAAACCAAAACCCTAAACCCTAAACCCCAAACCCTAAAACCCTAAACCCTTGGAGAGACGCAGGTGAAGCCGGGCGTGCCACTGATTTACCTGGACAACGCTGCCACGTCTCAGAAGCCGAAGCAGGCCACCCTGTCAGAGCTTGTGGGGTGGAGGCATTCCACTGAAGGTTCGGGGTTCGGGGTTCAGGGTTCAGGGTTTGGGGTTTGGGGTTTAGGGTTTAGGGTTTAGGGTGCAGTGTATATGTGTATATACTGAGTAGTAGAGTAGATAGCCTTTAAACCTTTTTGGGGTGTATGAATCCCTTTATAATCCCGCAGGTTAACCTTAAGTTCCCTAGGCTACTGGACCAGTAAGTATTTTGTCTTTCATCTATCCCAAAAATGGAATAGACTCCCTAACCCCTAAACCCTAAACCCTAAACCCTAAACACACACATATACGCGACAGTTTATATGGCAACACACGTACATACCTCTAGACACACATGCATACATACATGACCGACCCCGACCACAAGGCCCTCAGGCCCAGGGCTCCCCTAAACCCTGAACCCTAAACCCTAAACCCTAATTAAACCCTAAACCCTAAACCCTCAACTTTCTTGGCGTTTGGTAGGTTCTGGAGGAGCTCAATCGCTTCTACAGCCAGGACAACAGCGCCGTGCCAGAGTTTTGCTACCCCTATACGCCCTAAACTCCCTAAACTCCTTATAAACCCCAAACCTTGAACCCTAGACCCTAAACCCCAAGCCCTAAACCGCTAAACCCTAATCCGTTTAGAGTTTTAGGATTTAGGGTTTCAAGACTTGGTACGATAGGTTAAGCAGATCCCAATCTCGTTCAGCTTGGACAGGGTCCCAAAGCGCATCTTTCAAAACGGCCCAAGTGTTGTCGAGCTGAACCTTGCTCTGATTTGCTTGTCTGCCTTCACTCACGGGGCTTGGGTTTACAGCGGCCTGCAGGTCGAAAGACACTTTAGGAAGACGTGCGCTAGGGTTTTGATGGCTTGTGTGGGTTTGGGTTGCGGCTTGGGGTACACTCTAGCTCATCGAATTAGATTTCCCTTGATAGTCCAACTCTGTTTTGGTGTCTAGGTACACAGTTCTGTCCATGAACCTCCAAAAACCCGAAGCCCTGACCTCCCCCTTTGAACTTACTGGCTCTTTTGAGTGCGGAATTTTGGTATGCTACAGACTTTATATGCCCCCCCCCCCCCCCCCCCCCCCCGCATAATTTATACCACTTCAAGGATTCTAGTTAGGGGCTCTAGTTTTGCCGAAGTCCCTACACTGGGAACTAAGTCAAACCGCAGCTTTTATTAAGCTCTGAGACCCAATCGAGGCGCTGAGCTTTTGATAGCTGAAGCCTCCATTCCTCCCCCAAACCGGAGCACTTCAATCGTTCAATTCTTGGTTTCCAACAATGTATTCGTACAGTTAAGGCATAATGAGGGAGTTCTTGGGGTTTATGCATTACAAGGAGCCCCAACAAGTACATTTTTCTTCTGGTTACTTCCAAGCCTAGATGCCTTTACCCAGAAAGACAGAAGTTACCTCCTAATTCCTAAACCCTAAACGCTAAACCCTAAACCCTAAACGATACCTCCTAAGGCAACGTCCATCGTGGGATGCATACGCTGTCGATGCGCTCGACGGAAGCCTTCGAAACCGCTCGGCAGAAGGCACGGCGAGGGTACCTGGAATTTCAGGTGTGGAGTCCGTTGCTTTCTCAGTAGCTGAATGAGCAGGGTTTAGGGTTTGGGGTTTAGGGTTTAGGGAGTCCACTTTACACTGTTTTGGGATACTATAATCCCCTGTGCAACTGAAAGTGTGGAGCTTCTCGACTCAGCAACTAAGTTTTAGGGCATACCTAGAGTAACCTTGTGCCTTCATAAAAGGGTGAATTTTCCAATCATCCTGAAACAGTTTGTCAAAGGATACAGAGGTTCCTCTAGCTAGGGTTTAGGGTTGCGACAGTAGAACATACTCAAGCTGTTGTTGGGAAGGCCCTGGCGATGTTTTTGTTATTTCCCAGTGTGGTTTGGGGTTTAGGGTTGATTTGGATTGTTGGATTCAGGGTTGGGTTTAGGGTTTAGGATGGCTTTTGGGATTATTGGGTTTAAACGGATCATACTTAGGAATGTTTTGTTCAGAGGGTTGAAAAGGGGGCCAATCTGGGCTGTTGCATCAGCATGAACCGGATCCGAACTTTGTCTTCAGAGATGAAGTCCTAGCCGGATTTCTCAAGCTTCATGTTTTCTCAGGAGCCTACAGAGACACGGAACTTCGAAGAAGTCACCAGCTCCTGTTCCAATGACACATGCAGCCGCCAGCTGAACCCTTAACCCTAAACCCTAAGCCCTAAACCCTCATAAACCCTAACCCTTAAAACCTGTGTGAGGTGGCGAAGTTCGTGAACGCGCCGGACTCCCACGAAGCCCGACCGATTTTATGTTGGGTTCTTAAGGGAGGGGGATTCAGGGTTTAGGGTTCCCTAATACTCCCCACTACTCCAACCTAGCGGAGGGAAAGTTGAGGGGTGTTGGGATGTTTGGGCTGAGCAACCCCCCGACAGTCCTTTAGCTGCCTCCACAGCATGCGAAACTTGTCTTGCCAAAACGTCGTCCTTTGTCAGCACAGCCCTCAACACAGAAAGCCCTGGCCTAAGCCCCAGACCCCAAACCCCCGTAAAGATGAACCAGGTGCCAGAGTAGGCCCTATAGGCCCTTACTCCTTTTTTGTTTTCAAGGGTGTCGGTTCCCCATAGGCCCCTTTAAACCAACAGGGCACCCTTTTGATTCCTAGGTAGCTCTTGGGGTCCAGGAAAGAAGCCCCTCAGCCCCGGCCTTCGACACTTAAACCCTAACCCTAAACCCTAAACCCTAAACCCTAAACCCTAAACCCTAAACCCTAAACCCTAAACCCGACACTCAGGAGATCGTCTTCACCAGGAACGCAACCGAGGCCATCAACCTCGTAGCGCGCACATGGGGTGCAGCCAACATCCAGATGCCCAGCTCTTCAGGGAGACTGTTGGGGGTTCCCCTACTTGGTAGCCCAGTGGTACCCTTTTCCCTTTTTTTGTTCTGGGTTCCCTTATAAAATAGCCAACCCAGAAAGGGTGCCCCTACTACAATATGGTTACTGGGCTACCAAGCCTAAACCCTAAAACCCTAAAGCCTGAAGCATGGCTTTAGGGTTGCTAGGGTTTGGGGTTTGAGGTTTAGGGTTTAGGGTTTAGGGTTTAGGGTTTAGGGTTTAGGGTTTAGGGTTTAGGGTTTAGGGTTTAGGGTTTAGGGTTTAGGGTAGGCTCGCGGGTTGGTTGCCCCAGGCGGGTGGCGGGCTTCTAGCCTTTTCAAGGTCCTGATGAACTTCTCCTATTTGCTTAGGATTAGGAACCCTCCAAAAAATAGAATTTCCTCCTTATAGGGGCAATATTCGGACTGTTTTTTTTCTGTTGGGGGATTCTTAAACAAAGAATAGGAAACGCATCCTTGAAGACAGTTTGCAGGCTTCCCAGGGCTTCCAACCTCCCATCAACTCTTCGCCCCGAAGCTCGAGGATCCTACCCGAAACCCTAAACCCTAAACCCTACACCCTACACCCTAAACCCTAAACCCTAAACCTGAAGCCCGAATAAACCCCTCCGACGCCGAGGAAGGGGGACGAGATCGTGCTCACCGTCATGGACCTTCGATGTAGGGGGGGGGGGGGGTTGTTTCTGATGGTCCTTCAGAGGGATAGGCCATGCGGCCATGTGATCTGCGCCCCTTATAATGGGGGAATCCTTGGTTAAGCAAGGGAATCGGCTCTTAGGGCTTTTATTGGGGGGACAGATGTCTTGGACAACAGCCGCTGCTTCCCTGCAAGCCCCTAAGCCCTAAGCCCCAAGCCCGTAAGCACCTTCGCCTCCAGGATCATGGTTGCTTAGAGACATTGACGGCTGGAAGTTTCGGAGTCGGGTGCTTTGTTAACGAACACTACTTGTAGTAGCAGCAACAAGAAAACAAGAAGTAGCCTTACCTAAGCTCAAGGCCTCAATGGAAAGCTCCGACGGCCCAAGCCCTACGAGAACGCAAACAAGCTGAGCCAGTCTCCAGGGTGTAATTGTTGGGGTTTAGGGTTTAGGGTTTAGGGTTTAGGGTTTAGGGTTTAGGGTTTAGGGTTTAGGGTTTAGGGCCCCTGCAACGACCAAGAGTGGGCCCGCATTTCTGTTGTTTAGGGTTTCGGTTCTCTTATAAGCCCCTTTAAATCAAAAAAAATGATTCCTGGGATACTCCGGGATCTAGTGTATCTATATATATATATATATATATATGTATGTATGTATGTATATGTATGTATGTAGGTATGTGTACAAATATACATACATATGTATATATATATATATGTGACTTGTGCATTCTCATTTGCTTTTGTCTGCTTAGTTGTTTATGTAATTTGCTTCGTATAATATAGTATAATGTATTGCAATGCAATGTAATGTAACCAACCAAAATGACAATCACAATGAGAGCCATTTCGAAAGCTCTGAGAGCCCAGAGCCTCAAAGTCTTCCATCGTAAGGCCTGCGGCACTTTGCTTAGGGCACCCCGGCCTGCGTATGCCCCAAGTTGAGGTTGCCCTAAACCCTAAACCCTAAACCCTAAACCCTAAACCCGAAACCCTAAACCCTAAACCCTAAACCCCTAAACCCCTGTTCCCTATACCTAGTTAAAGGGTCTTCATGGCACAGGCAGAATGACTGAGCGCCTGCGGCTTCTCTACATCGTCAGAAATGTCCATCCCACATAAGTGGGACCAACACAAATCACTAAACCCTAGGCCCTAAGTCCTAAGCCCTAAACCCTAAACCCTAAACCCTAAACCCTAAACCCTAAACCCTAAACCCTAAACCCTAAACCCTAAACCCTAAACCCTAAACCCTAAACCCTAAACCCAAACCCTACTTGAAGTCCTTGCAGCCTGCCCATGTCCGCCCAAGGAGCACCACGCGAACTTAGTGCCCTGGCAACTACTCGCAGAGTCGACGGGCGCCGTACTACGTTGCTTGGCAGGGTTTAGGGTTCAGGGTTTAGGGTTTAGGGTTTAGGGTTTAGGGCTTAGGGTTTAGGGTTTAGGGTTTAGCGTTTAGGGTTTAGGGGTTTAATAGGGTTGGTTTACCCAAGGGCTCCAATGTAGTTCCTTTTTGGGTTAGTTATAGGGGATTTTAGTATGCTACCCCAAAAAGGTACTACATAGGAGCCTTTGGGTAGGGTTCAGGGTTTAATAGGGTGTTGGGTTTTTGGCTTTGGGTTTCGGGTTCAGGTTTGGAAAGCACGAGCTGTTGTAAGCCGTACCTGTTACAGCCTTCCCAGCTTATCTGGAGACGGAAACAGGGTCAAAGGTTCTTTAACCTTTCGTCCTCTCGGTTTTTCCAGCGATGGCAGGACACAGAGTGCTTGTACTAGGCGTGCTCCGCCTAAATCACAGCAGGGCTGCTTGTCATGCCCGGTCAAGGAATAGTATGTGCCCTGCCTTCTCCCTCCCCCTGCTTTCAACCTCCCCTCCCCCGTGTATCTTAGATGCCTAAACCGCAACAAGTCACCCTAAACCCTAAACCCTAAACCCTAAACCCTAAACCCCTTTGCTTAGAGGGCAGCCGTGGGGTTCAAATCCCAACGAAGGGCCCATACTAAGGGCATCGAAGGTTCAGGGGTCGTGATACGTAGGGTGATAAGTACCCCAAATGAGGCTATAGAACCACTTATAACTTTTGCTACCTTGCTTAGAAACCCAGATAGAACTACGCATGAACCTCCAAGCAACCCTAAACCCTAAACCCTCAATCCTCAACCCTCAACCCTAAACCCTCAACCCTAAACCCTAAACCCTAAGCCCGTATTCAGGGTCGTGTCTCACTGGCAGGCTTTGGACAGCTCCGCAAGGATGGTACGCTGGTGGCTCGGCACCTCTACGGATCCTAGTTTTAGGGTTTAGGGTTTAGGGTTTAGGGTTTAGGGATACTTGGAGGTTGTAACTACGCATGATACAACCCTGCTTCTAACCACCCATGAACCTTCAAGTAGACACTCCCGCTGGCATGAGCCTGCTGCGGCGCACTCCCTCGGAACGACCCATTGCAGGCGCATGTCCTGATACCCTAAACCCTGAACCCTAAACCCTAAACCCTAAACCCTAAACCCTAAACCCTAAACCCTAAACCCTAAACCCTAAACCCTAAACCCTAAACCCTAAACCCTAAACCCTAAACCCTAAACCCTAAACCCTAAACCCTAAACCCTAAACCCTAGAACCTAAACCCTAAACCCTAAACCCTAAACCCTAAACCCTAAACCCTAAACCCTAAACCCTAAACCCTAAACCCTAAACCCTAAACCCTAAACCCTAAACCCTAAACCCTAAACCCTAAACCCTAAACCCTAAGCCAGCTTTGCGTGGCAAGTTGGGCAGACTGCCCCAAGGCCCTTCAAGTAAGGATCCCCATCCCAGAAAACCGCAGCGCGCAGTTTTTTTTCTTAAGAACCACCCCAAAAAATCATCTTCCTTATAAGGGGAATATAGGGGTTGTTTGTCGTACATTTTTGGGGCGGTCCTCGTTCACCATGCAGCGATGCAGGACGTGGAGCACTTCGAAAGCTTGATTGGGGAGAGGACATGTGTTGCCGAGATGCCTGTAGGGTTTAGGGTTTAGGGTTTAGGGTTTAGGGTTTAGGGTTTAGGGTTTAGGGTTTAGGGTTTAGGGTTTAGGGTTTAGGGTTTAGGGTTTAGGGTTTAGGGTGCGCTCAAGTGTGGGCAAACAAGGTGCTGCAGTTGGGTTTCAGGGTGCCAGGTGCACGACGGAGCGAGGGGAGGTGCAAAGATGATTAAGTCCAATTCCGAGACCTCCTGGTCCCAAAGATCCCCTTGACGAGGACCCAGAATAGGCCCTTATTCCCTTTTTCTTGGAGGTTCGGGGTTTAGGGTTTAGGGTTTAGGGTTTAGGGCTACTATAGGACTCAGCATAGGCCCTTATTCCCGTTTTTAGGGTTTGGGTTTTCCTTACAAGCCCCTTGAAGCCAAACGGGGTACCCTTCTGAGGCAGCCTCACGAACATGTAAGCAACGGCTCCCCTCAGGACGAAGCTAGTGGGGCTCTGCCACGTCTCCAATGTCCTCGGATGCGCAGCTCTCACCTGTTTAGGGTTTAGGGTTTAGGGTTTAGGGTTTAGGGTTGTGAGGGTTTAGGGTAAACCCTACAACACCCGAAGCCCCTGTAAAGCCACGAAACCGACATCCAAGCATCTGACTACCCTTAAGAGAAACAAAACTAAGGCGCACTTCCCCTTTTTTCAGGGTATACAGGTTACTCTAAACCCTAAACCCTAAACCCTAAACCCTAAACCCTAAACCCTAAACCCTAAACCCTAAACCCTAAACCCTAAAAAGAGCTGAGGTAAATCCCGTGGAGCGGGTGGCCGAGGTGGCCCATTCTGTGAATGCGAAGGTGCTCGTGGATGCCTGTCAAAGCGCGCTTTGCCAGATCAGATCAGAAACTCCCCCTTTGGGTTTAGGGTTTAGGGTTTAGGGTTTAGGGTTTAGGGTGTAGGGTGTAGGGTGTAGGGTGTAGGGTTTAGTTTACATTCCCCCCCCCCCCCCCTAAACGAGGATCCAAAGGTGGCCACAGGGCCCTTGTTCCCCCTGGTTGGGGATTAGGTTCCCTAGAAAAGCCCCTGTAAACCCCAAAGGGCACCCTCTTTATTCCTAGGTTATACTGTGTCTCGTGAACCGTCCACCCCTCCTTGAGACTTGTACACTGTAGCCATGCGCCAGACTGTAGAAGGCTGATTCTCTTGACGACACTGTGCCCTTGCTGTCCCCAACGAGCAGCGAAGAACGACTCGAACGTCCTCCGTAGGATCCGCTGATAGGAGTTACTTCTGAGGGTAGTTTCATGGGCCCATAATATGGTCCCTAACCTCCTTTAAAGGGTTCTGATGTATGGCCCTCCATTTGTATAGGGTATATAAGGGGTATATAAGGGATACCCTTAGAATCCCTTAGATTTGTAGTGATAACTGGGGTCATAAGAGGGATAACTGCTGTTACTAGCGGTTATGTTCCTATGCGAGGTTCGTTTAACTGAACGTATAACTACCCGTGAACCTTCAAGTAGTGGCCTCGGTACTTTGCAAGCACTGAACCCTAAACCCTAAACCCTAAGCCCTAAACCCTAAACCCTAAACCCTAAACCCTAAGCCGCAGAGAGAGCCAGCGCGAGGTCCCTCACATGCCCGTGGACGTGCAGACACTGGGAGCGGATTGGATCGTTGCCAGCGGCGCCTTGCATGCAGCCACAGAGGTCGCTTTGCGGATCTGTCATTTTTGATTCAACGTCAACACTGAACTAACTAAGCCTTCAAAGAGCCCTAGATTTTCCGCCCTTTGCCTATACCAAACCCTCAACCCCCCCCCCACAGGGTATGTCTCATGACTATGGTGTTGGGGCCCAGGGTGCATTGAGAGAAGGCCTACAAAAACAGGCTGAAGAGCTGAATGATGTTCAAACATGGAGCCTTCTTGGAGGCTCAGGATTCTGACCTACCGTAGGTTGTTTATTATGCCATTATATCGAAAAACGCACACGTCATATACACAGTCATCAACGTTTAGAAAGATCCATATATGCACTTACACACTCACCCAAACCCTAAGCCCTAAACCCTTAGCCCTGAATCCAAACGCCCAAGCCCTAAACCCCAAACCCTAAACCTTTCACCTTAAACCCCAAGCCGTAACCCTAAACCCTATCCCTACTTCACAGGGATGCCAGTTCCTCAGGTCACAAGATGTGTGGTCCCACGGGGATCGGATTCCTGCCTCTTGCCTGCACTGTAGATTCGGGTTCTCCTAGTGCAGCCATGTTCCTTAAAAGAAGTTTAGAAAAACCCTAAACCCTAAACCCTAAACCCTAAACCCTAAACCCTAAACCCTAAAGAATCCTAAGCCCTAAAGAGTAAGGTAAACTTCCCAAAGGTTACAATAAAGGTAGGGGTTGGGTCATAGGCTTCTGAGTGCCTCCGGGCTCCATCAAGCCCTCTCGCCGAGTTGCCTCTCAGATTCGGGGTTTAGGTTTAGGGTTTAGGGTTTAGGGTTTAGGGTTTAGGGTTTAGGCTATAGGCTATAGGCCATAGGCTATAGGCTGGCTTTATGGATGTCCGAGAGCGCAGAAGAACACACGTGCCTTCCCATCATACGGATTTCCGGGCTGCCGTCGCTGTCAGGTGGGGCAGAGGAGAGATCCTCCGAGCATCCCCTCCGTTCTTGGGTGGCGGTGAGATGATCGACCAGGTGACGCTGGAAGGCTCCTTGGGCACTCGGGTGTTTAGGGGAAGTCTCTCTTAGCAACACGTGCACTGTAAAGATATTCCTCCTAAATCCTAAACCCACAACCCAAAACCCTCAACCCAAGGGAAAGGGCATGCCAACAGATTTGGCACGTACGTACTGCAAGTCCATGCAAGGGGCATAGGAGAGAGACGGTCGAAAGCCGCCAACGAACCGACTTTAAACTGGGGGGCTTCTCGTCGCAAGGCAGCACCTTCAACGAGATCCCCCACAAGTTTGAGGCTGCATGGCTTCACCCCGGACTCCTAAACCCTAAACTTCCTAAACCCTAACCCCTAACCCCTAAACCCCAAACCCGTAAACTTAAACCCCAAACCCTAAACCCTAAACCTTTGGCGGTTTTCAGGATCATTTGGGTGCCCGGAGCAGGGGTGGAGGGGTTGTAGGGCTCTAGGGGGGTTTGGAGTTGAAGCCTCGTCGGGTGACTGCTCGCAGCGCCCCTTCCGAACCCTAAACCCTAAACTACTGTTTCTTTAAGGGTTTAGGGGTTAGGGTTCCAGGTTTAGGGTTTAGGGAATCATGGCACCAATCGTCAAGCTTGCCGCTGGAGGCCGGCACCCCGGCTTTCGCGGAGGCCGTGGCGCTTGGCGCAGCCTGCGAGTATCCCCCTGAGGGGTGTTGGGGTTTAGGGTTAAGCGCTTAGGGTGTGTGGGGTTTAGGGTTTAGGGTGTGTAGGGTTTTAGGGTTGTAGGGTTGTAGGGTTTGAGGGTTTTAGGGTTTTCAGGTTTTATTTTGTTTTGTTTCGGTTTTAGGGTTTTAGGGTTTTTAGGGTTTAGGGTTTTAGGGTGTGTGGGTGGGTGTGTGGGTGTGTAGGGTTTCAGGATTTAGAGTTTGAGGGTTTAGGGTTTCAGGGTTTTTGGGTGTGTAGGGTATTAGGGGTTTAGGGTGTTCGGGTTTTCGGATTTAGGGTTTAGCTTTAGCTCTTCTAGGGGCACTTCGCAGCATCGATGAAAGCGCAGAGAGAGGACATCTGGGTTTTTGGGGTTTACTGCATGTTCACAAAGAGTTGAAACCTGTGCTCTACGGGACTCTTGATTCAATGCTGTAATGCCGTTGTGCAATGCCACGTGCCGTGTGCCAAGCTCATTCCCCTGGCCCCAGGTACTTGACAAACCTTGGTATGGATGCCGTTTCCGAGCGCCGCCCGGCTATCGAGATTTGAAAACTGCGCCAACCGGCAGACGTTTTCTTGTTTCGTCGTCGTCGTGGTCGTCGACATCGTCGTCGTCATCGTCGTCATCGTCATCATCATCATCATCATCATCATCATCATCATCATCATCCTAGTCAGAGTCGCATGCATACGGCTTGGGGTTTAGGGTTTCGGGGTTAGGGTTTTAGGGTTCAGGATGTAGGTTACGCTAGCAGGGCTCCCGAAATGGCGCGCAGCAGAAGCTCCCCCCCCCTCCCGTGATTCTGACACTTGAATGCAGCATCCAATACACCCTAAACCCTAACCCCTAAAGCATGCACCTTGGCGACCGACCCAAATTCAAACGGCGCGCCAACCTTGACAAGTAGGTCAGAGAAAGTTCGTACAAGTCAAAGCCAAC